GAAAGAAATTTTATTTCGTGCAATTCAATGTTTATATGAATTTATTGCTTTCTTTCTTCCTTCGGAAAATTCCCACATGCCTACGTGGTCGTGTTATATGTAGCCTGGGAATTCTAGGTCTTCTAACTGGTTCGCAAATGTGCGGTTGGCTTTTGTTGTTGACTCCGTGCGTATGTGTTGTTTCCTGCTTTCGGCAAACAAGTATTGCTCATCTTTACACTTGGCTGCACCGCGCTGGTGAGGCCAATAGCCAGAAACACGTGTCCGCGGTTTGCCCCCCTTTTTTGTAGTATTGTGTCCACGAATTGTTTCTTTTTTGATATATATCACACGTTGAAAGGTAAGACCTCGTTGGTCCTTAGCTCGCACAAGTTTCTCAACTTCTGAGAGTTGTCGTTCGTATGGGGGCGACAGATGATTAACGGAAAAACAGATTTTAAACAGATGTATATATATATTATTTCAATTTTGTATCACTATCAACTGAAAAATTATTTGTAAACTTATCATTGAATTCTATACATAAATTTCTGAAATCAACTTCTAAGTGGCCTTATTACCAAAAATCGACTAGAGCGCCAAGTATGATCACAGATTTGTAATCAACTAACAACATGCGATCGTGAATCGAAGGCGTCATTTTACAAGTTCCTGAAATCAACTTTTGAGTGACCGTATCTCCGAAAATCGACTAGACCGTAAAGTTTTCATCACAGATTTGTGATCTACTGACAAAATTCGTGGACTAACTCAAACTGAAAAATCGAACATTTACCAAATACTCTACATGTGATAATATAGATTCTCTCAGAAAATATTGTTATTCTGAATCATACAATGAATCAGTTGATTCTTCGTTTCGTTGGGCATTGTGTTCGTAAATCTTTTGCTAGGAGAATCCTCACTTGTTTACTTTGTAGTAAATTTTCAAGAGGTAGCGAAAACTTATGTGAATTTCTGAAACTTGAATCATCTGAAAATGGATCTTTTTTAACAGGTGATGATCGACTGTATTGCCTAACATGCGCCAAACTAACTGACTGAGTATAACTGAGGTACCAGTCAATCTAATATAATAACACTGATGATCTTCAAACATGACTCAACCTCTGACGGAAGCACCAAACTCTTACGAAGGTTCGAAATAGATGGACACTTCAATCTAGTAGACCACTATTATAATCTTCATGCAGTCATTGTTCACTGTGGTTTTGGCGTTGAATATGGTCATTATTACGCCGTGGTCAAAGACGAATCGGACTGGTTTGAGTTTGACGGTAGTCGTGTCACTAAGTGTTCTGGCCTCTTGTCTGAGGTTCTGGCGATGTGTTGAGCTTCTGAAGGCACCCTACATTTTTTTTTATGAGAGAGATGACATTGGTAGATCAAGATCTTCAGATGCAGGTTATTCCGGGTTTTCCTACAGCTCAAAAAGCAAATGCGCCACTGGAATCAATGAAGTCACCCCGGAGCGAATTGAGGCTAAGCCTATGGCGAGAAGCGCTTACTGCGCAACCTCTGCCGCAGGCAGCCAGTAATGTAATTGTGTTTAATAAACCCTACAAATACAGATGCTACGAATGTAATACGCATATACACAGATGGTTCAAAAACCAAAGAAGGCTCAGAATGTGGAGTTTACTCCAGATCACTAAGCCTAAGGATTAAGTGGGGTATGGGAAAAAATACCAACGTTGTTCAAACAGAACTGGCTGGTATATCAATCGCCACAAAGTAACCAGGAAAGGAATTTCTGGCAAAAACATAACAATCTGCACTGATAGTAGACAAGCCATATTAACAGACAACGTGTTACCTCAGGGCTAGTACTACTAGAGTGCCACCAAGATTCAGCCAAAGCCTCGGTATATAGTAACATTATCCTGAGGTGGATTGAAGGGAACGACAGTAGTAAAGGTAATCGCATTGCCGACTCTTTAGCCAAGGAAGTGGCTGGACTAAGAATTTCAGGACCCAGTGACATCTACAGCCTGAAGACTTTGACTATTGCGAAACTAGCCAAATGTCACACCCATACTCAATCTCTGAAGAAATAGGATGGAATCAAAGAATGCAGTAGTGAAATGGTTCACCCTGAGCGACCCTCGGAAGCTGGCGCCAAAGAAATATCTGGCGGTGATCAGGAAAAACTTACGCCTAACAGTAGGATTTCTAACTGGCCACTTTCAATTGAGGAAACACCTCCATATTATGGGGCTAGTGGATAAACCTCTATGCAGGATGTGTGAACAGAAAGATGAAAATAACGATTTCATTAAACAAAAATCTGATATTACAAAGAAATAACATACAAGTAACAACCAAAAAGTTATTATAAGCTGAAAGTAAAAAAAATTAAAAATATTATTAACAAGAAATGTAACAAAAAATTGAAAGATTCCAAACCAAGTTATGTCAAGAAGTTTCGATTGTTAGTATCCACAATCGTCTTCGGGTGATAACAGTTATCACACGAAGGCGTATTGCGTATTACGGTTTTGTGAACTGTTCTGTGAAAATTTTAAAATGAAGTGTTAACTCATAGCTCAAAAAATATCCTGATAAAATCTCAGTCGATACAAGCACCTTTATCCAATTCTACTCGAATTCGCAAAAATTCATCAGATGATAATTCACCTACAAACTTTTCTTATATATCAATAGCATAACTTGAAAATGAATGTATCCCAAACAATATCAAAATTATGGGGGATTTGAAAATTGAATTGAAAAATGAAACGGATTTGTAACATTTCTTATAACAATTGCTATCTGAATTATATCGACATGGACCTGTTTTGTTTCTTATAAGCTCCCATAATTGAAATTTTATTGAAAATAAGAAATGTTGTACCCCTGAAATAACTTGAAATATATTCCAAAATTCAAGATCTATCATCATTATGGGGAATGGCAACAAACTCTTATTGAAACCAAATAAAAAAGTTCAGAACAGAAGTATAAAGTGTATTGTCAAGTAAAACTACAAGGAGCCTACACTCAACTTTCATAAACTGAAAAATTATTGGATTTGTGATCCATACATAAATTCAAATTATGTACCTTCATTCATTTGGTCATTTCAAAATTAATGGTGACTAACACAACAATTCGACAAGAAATTCAGGCAATCTAAAATTAGTGAAAATGAAAATAAATATTGAGCAAAATTCGATTCATCATAAAGGTATCAAGTTTTACAATGAGCTACCAATAAAGAAAAATTCCGAATTGAAAAAAAAACTTTTGGAAATTTGAATACTGAATCAAAGGATGAAAGAGATCTGTTACATTCCTTGTAATTAATGCAATTTGAATAATACTCGTATCCACACAACGTCCATGATCCTAATAATGGAATAACCAAAAGGAATATAAAACCAAAACACTAATAGAACATAAACCAAATTTCACTAATATTATATTTACACAAACAGAAGAAAGCAGGATTCAAAACATCATTGCTAAAAATAGTTGTGATTAATTTGGTTCTATTTGAATACCAAAAACTCACCTGAAATCTCAAGTCATTTATAGGCGGTTTTGCATAACGAATTCCTCTGAAAGAATAAATAGTCTTTCCTAATCTAGACTTCAATGTGCTGCCTTTTATTTGTCCGAGTGTTATCGTTACAATAGGATTCTCATCACAATAAACTTTGACATTCAAATTGATAAAAGCGAAGAGTAACAGAACTGTTATTCGTTTCATTTTAGAAGACACTCCAAAAAGCACACTTCCAAATGCACAAATTTAATAACAAAATATTGCTTTCATATTGAATATTTGTGATATTCCTTTATCAGTCCCCTCTTTCTAATTGGAAATTCAAATGATGCATGCGGTTTGGATTTTAAATAATAACGATACGCTACTTGGAACCACGTAATTGGTTTAAACAATAGTTTTCGTTCTGAGAAAATATTCATACCTTATCAATTGAAAAGGCGAAACAAAATAACGAAGATAACAAATAAAGTCTGCTCCAAGCATGGTATCGGTCTGAAAACATATTTTCCTGGAGTTGCTTTTTCAAGAGGACACTATTTCATTTTTTTGATATGTATATGGTTTCAGTATGAGCTTAAGTTCAAGTGTATTAGATCGCAACTCTTGTTCCCCGGCCGCAATGTTGGAAAAAGGGGTGCAAAGGTTTTAGCGCTGTATCTCGAAAACTAGCAAGCCCATAGAAACTTTTATGGAACATAATTTGTAACAAATTAAATTTCTACAACTTCTTTTTCATTATTTTAAATCGTAAAATGGAAAATAAAAAAATTATAAACAAAATTACCTGAACATTTTTGAACACATTTTCTTTTGGGCGTTATAACTTTATTTTCTGGTCATTTTACAAGACATCAGCGCAAGTTTATAAACAGTTTTTCAACGAATAATTTCCAAGTTGTGAAATTAGCCGCGGTGGTAGTACGCCCGACTCACGATCGGAAGACCGTGGGTTCGATTCCCGCCTCGACCACATATTTTTCTCGAGAGAATTCATCTGGTTGAAGCTGGGAAGATTCTGCAATCGTGTTAGGAATCACACGTTGAAAGGTGAAACTTCGTTAGTCCTTAGCTCGCACAAGTTACTCAACTTCTGAGAGTTGTCGTTTGTATGGGGGCGACAGCTGATTACCGAAAAAACAGATTTTAAACTACAAGTTTGTTCAATTCCGTTGATTTATCAGGGTAGAATCTGAAGGCGCCTTTTTTACGTGGTATTCCCAGTAGACCTCATTCTACTGTTTCCAATTGAGGCGTTGTTCATGGGTGAATTTCACANGCAAATTGCCAAAAACGACTCTCCCCAATAGAAATATTCAACAAAGTGTATCTGGTCTGGATTCCTGGTCATACTGGCCTGAAAGGTAATGAGGCTGCTGACTTCCTTGCGAAGGAGGGCGCTGCAAGCAGCTTCATCGGATCGGAACCTGTTATTGGCATCGCTTCTGGCTTTGCCAAACCTGGATGGCAAGAATATTCATAGACTTCTGGCAAAATCTTCCAGGATTGGCGCACATCAAAGCGTTCATTCACCCATCGAAGCTTGAAACCAAACATTCGTAGGACTACAGTAGGGATGAACTGTCGAAAGACAATGTGTCATGTTTTTAAAGTTTGGCAAAGCTACACTCTTACCATCTGACCTGAAATATTACTCACCATATAAAATAATCAGCTTCGTCAAGAAGCTGGATTCCTATGGTCGAGTGGGAATAGGTGTGAGCCACAATAAACGGCGGTGGAGGATCGAATAGACCCACTCACTTTCGACCTAACCTGACCTATATAAAAAAATCTGTTGTTTCAAATAAAGTACCGTAGAAAAAAAATCTACGTGTGTTACTTCAGGTCACATTTTGCGTATACGGTTAGTTTGGATGATAATACATGGTCAGCTAAGAGATTTAATTTTACATACATAATGGCGGTCCGCCAAAGAGAAAGAACTATTTATTTTTTATCTGCTCTCATAATATAGTTATCAGATGGAAATATTTGCTAAAAATGAGAAAAATAATATGACGTCACCCTGAATCTCATAAAAACGGACCGACCAAGATGGCGGCTTAGTTATTTTTTATGCACTCCTGTATGCAAATAAACGAACAAACTCATTCTAAATTCAAGATGACGGATCGCCCAAATAGTTATACTTATGTGCTCTCATGACATGAATAATAAAAGGGTTTGTTGAAAAATTCGGAAGAAACGTCGCTTCAAATCTAATATGGCGGACCGTCCAAGATGGTGAATTAGTTGATTCTTGAGCATTTCCATGACATGAGTATTAATTGAAAGGATTTACTGAAAATAACATGAAGAATCTCATATGAAGGGCCGCCCTAGATGATGGACCAGTTAATTGCGGAGTAGTTGATTGTCATGCACTTTCATGCATCATGAATGATATCATTCTGAATCCAACATGGCAGATTAGTTGATGAACTATGTTCTTTTATGCACCTCCATAACATGGATATCAAATGAGGAGGTTCAAGAGGTGAACATTCGAAATAGCCAGAAACGAAAATTAAACACGACTTTGGTGGTGCTCTAACAAATGTTGAAATACCGACCATGCAACATTGACGCATTGAATGAAAAGAATAGATCAAGGAACTTGCGCAAAGGTAACTGAAAATAAGACATTAATAAAAAAAATATTCAGGAACAAGATTTCATTCACATGCTCTGAAAATGAGAAAATCATTTTTGAATTTTTGAAGATGAAGATTCAGATAAAGATTATGTACTTCCATTTCAACATGAGTAACTCTTTTAGAATCATTCAGAATAATGTGTTCATTTTATGAAATACAAATTTTGGATACCTTATTTCTGTCTGTTTTGAGTATGGCGGCACTGTCGTGAGATATTTTGTTTTGAATATGCCATATGTAGTATTCACACAGATATATTCGTACTAGGTTTTTGCTCAATTCTATAGGAGTCTGGTAGTCAAGCAGGCTGAATAGGAATTCAAATATTTGTGCATATTTCATTTACAGAAAACGTTGTTGGTCTATGTTAATACCACTTTCAGCTTCAAACGATACGATACATCTCCTGAACCGATAGTTTCTCAAGCCGATATGAAGAGAGTTACGCAATTGAATTTTCATTTCAGTTGATTTCAACTTGCAAAAATCAATAATCTTGGTGATGGATAAGTGAAAATATATGATCATTTATGAGCTTGAGTGGCCTTGGACGCCTTGGTGGAGTATGAGAAAATTTTAAAAACTAGATTATGGGTAATTTTGTGAAAGCATGTGTTTAGTTTTATTTTGTTTTTCATAGAGTAGGTAACGGATAAACTAGCTTTTGTGTAGTAATTTCTGGACACGGCTATTAGGCGGGTAGCTGTCCTTCTGGATGTGATTGTACCTTGTAAACGCGAGGTCTCACAAGTGAAGCTATATACATATAATGGCTGGCTCCTAAAAGTAACTCCGTGTGCTTCAACATTCAAGTTTGGCAACCAAGTATTGACAATAGATCACCATTGTCTATGCTACCCTGCCATAGGCTAACGAGTTAGAAACACGTTGCTGCAGTTTGCCAACCATTTTCTTTTTTTGTTTGACTCTATGTTATCTTATCTTTGATTACTGGTTAAAAAACAAATTTCAACCAGGTTACATACGACTAGTCGAACAACTCTTTTGTATGACAGTTCAAACTCAGTCACAGTAACCATAATTATCAATACTGAATCACTAACTGAAGCATTTCACGTAAAGTTTTCACACGTGTTTCGCTATTCAATAGGTTTCTCAAATAAAAATCTCTCGCTCTCAATGAATTCGCGAATATTAAAGATACACAATATCCACACAAATCAACTGACTTTACTGTGATAAATTCGCCAAAGAATGATACTTTTCCAGATACTTTGAAATATTTTTGCCATTTCGAAAAGATTGATGAAACTTGACTTTGGAAAATGGTTGCCATAATGATAGTCTTCGTCCTAATCAACTCTTCACCTGTAGTCTAGGATCGTCCGCAGTCGAGAATTGAAAACAAATATGCAATTGGTACACTTATCAAATGTTTATAATTATATGAGTTACCTCCAATTGAAAATTGTTATAGTATAATTATTTTAATTTGGAAATGGACAAATTCAATAATGGCGAAATATTCAGTTCAGTTAAATCGTTCATAAGATATTTGTTCATTTCCATACTCTCCAACAGGTTAAGTTTCAAACCTTTCTTCTGGAAATGGATGGGATTGTAGTCATAGTTAAACTCATGTCCCTCTGTGACTAAATGTGTGGCATATGTGGAATTTATTTTTCCACTGAAACTGAACTTGTGTTCCTTTATGTGGGCTTTGAAAGTTCTTCCAGTTTGACCTATATAAAACACAGGACATGACCCACATGATGATTTATACGTTTTTATACGTGGTAAAAAACATAGAATTTTTCATTTTTTTTTCATCATGATCTCCTACCACATAGTAACGGCTACATCCATCAATTTATTGATAATTTATACACTCCTGATTTTTCTGCAACTGAACTATCATCTTCATCATTCTTAATATGCATGCCTAAGTTGTTGTTGATTTTGAAAGCAATATTTACACCTTTGCTGTGCAGAAAATCTGAAATATTTGTAGTGGGTTGGCCTGAATAGGTTCTACAAGGTTCTTCTCTTCGAATTGGATAAACTTCGAAAGCTTGACTGTATAACTTTTTTGATAATAAAGAACGTATTAGACTGCTATCATAATCATTGTTGTTTCATTATATTCAGTTCTTTATCGAAATTCGCCTCTGACAAGGGCACATTTATCAGTCTGTAGATCATACTGTTGAAAGCTACTACTTTGTGCTGATACGGGTGGGTGGACAAATTATGAATAATATCTGTATGTGTCAGTTTACGATAAATTGAGACATTATGTTTGTTGCTAACTTTTGTTATTGTCAAGTCCAAAAATGTATAGAGTCGTCCTTTTATATCTCCATTGTGAATGTGGTAGAAGAGTGGAGAGAATTGATGAAATTTAAAAAGTTAGTCAACTGTTTGTTCGTTCTTGTGAAACACACCAGGATATCATCCACATATATATACCAATACACTATTAAGTGAAAATCATACAATCAACTGTATTAATTAGTTTTAATATGCATTTTCAGTTCTATTCATTATACTTTCAAACCTTTATTTCTCCAAATGTTACTTTAATTTATTCAAACTCTTTCATAATTAAGATACATTGAATTTCTTAGTTTGATTTAGCATAGAAACTCAAAGGATAAAGGTTCTCCCAAAATTCATTGCGCTCCTCGAATAATCTTTCCTTCATGACGAGCCTGTTACCAATATCCATGTACTTTTGAGTTTGCAGTGTAAAACGATCCCATTTCACGTTATCGAGTTTCGCACTCCGGTGTGGTATTGGATTTCTACAACAAAAAAGGAATTGTTTCAGTATTCAAATACTCTCATAATGTTCACGTACTTGAGATTTATGATCAAACGATGTAGTGTTTAGTATAGTACTTACCCAGTTCTAGCAAAGTTTGCAAACATTGTTGTCAGCTTCTCAACCATATCAATTTCAGGCCTTGGAGAATCTTTTCCAAATAGAGGAAAATTTCTTGAATCATAGAATAAATAACTCAAGTCATCTCCGTGAGAAACCCCTGAAAAGGTAGCATGAAAATAAAATGGACTAGTGCTGAAACAAATTAGATTGTAAACAGGATTGATTTGAATTATTTGAACTAGCTATTCGTGCTAGCCCCTATAAATTTCCGTCTCTCGTGGTATTACTGTGAAATTGGTTCAAATGGCATCATAATTTGAATTGATTGGATTAGATGTGCACAAAAAATATTCCATTTGCGCTCATGGTTTTTATGGAACTCAAATCACCACCATTTCAATCACCAAAATTCTATACTAGTACCAGAAGAAACAAATAAGTATCGGAGCGAGCCTGAATCGATTTACACACATTACATTTCATTACATAACGGAGATTGGACCTAGATCCAGGTGCAGGAATCTTTTCATTGAAACCCAGGATCATGTTCAATTCGCCTCAGTTGTACCAAATCGAAAGACTCATCAGGAATTCATCCATAAATCTGTTGAGATTTTTCCAGTGATTATTTCATATGAATCACTTTCTTGTAATTTTGTTGCTGATGAATTTGTCAGATACGGATTTCATACACAACCCTCCTAATCTGTTATGAGGGTACCACAATTTTTGGTATGGTACCAAATCGGAAAACACACATGAACTACAACAATGCATGGAGAGGTTCAGAATAATTACAGAGCTTATTGGACATTGAGAGAACAACTGAATAAAAAAAGGGCTATATAACGAGGACCTCAGCTATAGTTGAGAATGAGACAGAGATGGTTCGCTATGTTTCATGTGAATGTGACGCACTGGTGGCTATGTAAAACCCAAATTATATTGAGAAGAATATGATGAACATCTCATGAAAGATGTATACAAACTAGTATATTCGAAATGTATTGTCACAGAAACAGTGGGTGGAAAACGCAATGAGCCTAGGAAGCTGCAGTATTCTCCAGAGACTTGAAAGATCTGGAGTCAGATGTCTTCCAACCAGCACCAAAAACACAAAAGCAGAAACAACATTACATGATGATGTCTGATGCTTGAGTGTTTTTATATAAAAATTTTAAAAAATCAAGCTGTCGATGCGTTGGCAGATTCGTTCTGATCAATATTCGAGCAGTTCAAATTATTATTAGGAATTCTTATTGATTTGTATAATGAAGTTGTTCTTATTCATACTCGTAACTAACAAACTGCCTGCCAATCCCAATCTTTAGCTACCGCCTTCTGGGCGGTAGCTAAAGCTGTTATTCAGAACTTTACAAAATCTACAATTCTATCACTAACACAAGCGAATGGTTCAATCGCAACACCAGCCATAAAAACAGCAAATCTACTAGCTGAATGATTGCGCCCCACTCCACAGTCGATTTTCTGGGAAAAGCACCACCCACTATTTCCAAACTAGAATACAGAATGCCAAAAATTACTTTCCGACAGCTTCTAGTCAGGCGAATTTTGAAACAGCTCAATATCAACAAGGCGTCTGGTCCTGATGGAGTGCCCGTCATCGTACTTAAAAATTGCGCAATCGAACCCACACCAGAATTTTGCACACTTTTCAACCTGTCTTACATGAAAGGGATTTTCCTTCTTGTTAGAAGATTGCTCGCGTTCAGCCTATTCCCAAAAAGGGCAAAAAATCTTCCAAATAACTATAGACCAGTCGCATTAGTGATATCAAAAATCATAGAGAAAGTCGTTAACCACCATATCCTTGAATATTTGGAAAGCTCCAACATCTTGAGCGATCATCAATATGGCTTTCGGAAACAAAGATCAACAGGCGACCTTCTATGTATGTTACCCATATTTGGGTAACATACCACGATAGAACAAAAAATCATAAAACATGGAGAATCAAAAGCTGTTGCGCTTGATATTTCTAAGGCCTTTGACTGTGTGTGGCATGAGGGTTTGCTGGCTAAACTTCGATGCTATGGCTTGTTGGATCATTTTTGTGTGTGGCTCTTTAGTTTCCTGAAAGAACGTTTCCTGCAAGTGGCCGTCGATATCTCTCGAATACTTTCACCATCAACGCTGGTGTTCCCCAGGGATCCATATTGTCTCCAACCCTCTTTTTATTGTATATCAACGACTTATTGGAAAAAACCAAGAATCCTACATATTGCTTTGCTGACGACAGCACACTTGTCTCGTCATTCCATTTGGATTCCAGGACATCCGCTACGAAGGCACATCTTCACCGGCAGCAGGAAGTTGCATATCTTAATAAGGATCTAGAAGTGAATTCGAATTGGGATGAAAGTAGCCAGGTTCAATTCAATGTCACAAAAACCCAGGCATCGGTTTTCTCCAACCGGTTATTATAATGTCAGGTCAGACAATTCCGCTTTCTGCTTCAATAAGTTTGTTGGTGGTTAAAATGGACACCAATATGTCTTGGGACAATCATGTCGCTGGAATTGCAAAGGCTACCTTTCAAAAGCTTGAAACACTGTTCCGAACCAGAAAACTGTACACACCTCAGCAACTTTTGATGCTTCATAAAGCTCAGATTAGACATTCTTTGGGTTATTGTTCTCATGTATGGAGCTCTGCCCCCAAACATACCCTGAAGTTGCTGGATTCCATTCAGAAATGAGTCTTCCGCCGAACATCACGTGCAACCTTGATAGCCTGAAACATCGAAGAAAAGTTGGAGATTTGTCTCTCTTCTATAGATACTTTTACGGGAAGTGTTCAGGTGACTTGACACATTCGATTCCACCAAGAGCGGTACATATCAGAAATACTCGACGGACTGTGGCTTTTCATTGTTTTGAGGTTCAACTCAGTAAACCTCGAACTTCACTGTTCAAGAACTCTTCCATTTGGAAATCCGCGTTCATGTGGAATAAACCTCCTGAGAACGTTTTTCCAAATGGATGTAATCTTCAGCGATTCAAATGCAAGGTGAATCGCTACTTTCGCACAAGCACCGCTCGTAGAGCGCCATAAGGATTTTTATGTAGTGCTTGTGTTTTGTCTTTAACAGAACTTTTTTATTTTCTACTTCATAAGAATGTATCATATCAACTAGAAAAATGTATTACGTATGGAGCTTCATAATAGGTGAGACGGTGCCTTTTTCACGCAGAAAGACAAAAAAGTGTCACTAAACTATTTTTCTCTTCTACATCTTCGAGAGTATGAATCATAGAAGGGTTTCTATCAACCAATTTTACTTAAACTAAGGTTAATGCACGTGTAAACACTGTTTCTATACTAACGCTCATGCTCATCTTCAGTTTCTGTTCACATTTACCTTTACATTTATTTATGTTTTTTCGGTTTTAGACTCAGAAATGAAAGTTAGATGAATAATATTGATATTTTCACTTTTTCATATCTGTCAGTTATATTCGTTCCGCCTTCTGGGAATTGTTACTAGCACTTCATAAATTGAACAATTTTCTGGAAGATAACAAAATAATAATTCCATTTGTCTGTTTGTTCATTATCTGGTTTTGATACAAAACCTTCAATACCTACATTTCCTAAATTTTTCAATTGAGATTTGTCCAAAGGTCTGTTACCAAAATAAAACGATTTAATCGCTCTGGAGACTTTTTTTGAATGACTGGTATTTCTTTCATAGATGAAACTGATGGGAGCTATCGTCTCAAAATCGTCATTCATTTCTTTAGTTAAGGTGGCATTATCGATTACTTCTGAAAATCAATGAAATATTTCGGATGTAGCAATGGAAAAAATTAGAAATATATCATGAAGAGAATGATTTGGTAGGTAATGGAATTGGTCTATACTTGATGGAAATCAAAAACGTATTCAAGTATTAGTTGAATAAAGTCATATGGTTTTTGAATATATAAAAATCATGGATGAGCTCTATCACCGAATCGATTTTGTTATTGAATTATACAGAGCGTTCCAACAAAAACTTGACCTCCCCGGTAAGTCAGAAACGGACATGTAATCTAAAATTTCATAGGACACGTAATTTTTTATTTCTAGGGGGACTAATTCTGATATGAAAATCATACCCGAAACTTCACCCCACTGCGGTCACCAACTACCCCCAAGAATGCCGGCCCAGACATTAAATTTTTTTGGACATTGTGAATGTGTTTTCATCACCAAATGAGGATTCACATCGCTTCAGTAAGGACAATTATGTCTATTCACTACACTTCCGTCTGAAAAACATGTATTCTATAATAGGTTTGGGTATTAGTCAAATTCTCCCTGAACACCTCACAAAACTGACGTCGACGATCAGGATCATCTTCGTTCAATTCCTGAACTAGCCTTATTCTGAAAGGATGGAATTTGTAGGCTTTCAAAATCCGAAAAACACTAGTAGCTGATACACAAGACGCTCTAGCTACTTGTCTGATAGATTTTCAAATATCCATTTGTACACATCTCCTAAAACTACAACTTCAACTTCGTCATTTCTGACAGGACGAGACACTTCATGTTTTCCGTTGTGAACACAACCTGAAGTGTTCGAAACTTATCCATTGACTGCTTAACGTATTGATGGCTCACGTTGTTTAAAAATCTGTTTAAAATCTGTTTTTCCGTTAATCAGCTGTCGCCCCCATACGAACGACAACTCTCAGAAGTTGAAAAACTTGTGCGAGTTAAGGATTAACGAGGTCTTACCTTTTAACGTGTGATTCCTAACACGGTTGTGGTCTGGATGATTCGTATTATAAATTCTTGCAGCAGCTTTAGAACATTCATTATTTCGATATAAGGTTACAATAATTTCTATTCTTTTTTCAGTAGAATGAACCTTGTCGAAAGACAGAGAACAAGGATGACTGAATAATAATTCGTGAAGAAGTGACAGTAGCCAACTATCTACTTTTTGTTCAACGACAACTAGATTCAACAAAAACTACCAGTACAAAAAAAACTAACAGTGTCGTTCATTTCAAACGTTGACTACTGTTCAAATGAATTCTACAAACAGAATGCTGCGACAGAGCATTTTTCGGGAATGCCCATTTCCGACTCCGGACATATTCAATAATGTAAGGAAAGCTTTCGAAAGTAGACTGTATTATTATATGGAACTAGATGGATGTCATTTTGAATACTCCATATGTCGATTGTGTTGCCATTGATATTACTTTTGTTGATTTTCTCAATAAAATGAACGAGAGCAAATCTTCTGTTTTTTCTTAAATGAAACGTTCAACATACAATTTCTCAATAACGAATGAACAAATTTTGAAAAAAATCACAGAATTATTATAGGGACAAAATACTTTTCAAATGATGTAGCACTCGACCTTCCATGCCATTGGAAAAAATAGGGGGGTTAGTTGCTGACCGCAAGGGGTGAAGTTACGGGTAAGATTTCCATATCAGAATTAGTTCCCCTTGAAATGAAAAATTGACGTTTTCTTTGAAATTGCCGATTACACGTCCGTTTTTGACTTAAAGGGGTGTCAAGTTTTAGTTGGAACGCCCTGTATAGGGTAAGCGCAGTAAATTTGTGTAAACTTTTCATTTTCAATCATATTGTTTTTTAAGAAGAAATCGATCCTGTTACCCAACCAACTTTCTTCAGAAACAATATTGGATTACTAAAATAGTTAACAGTCTGTTAAAGGGGAGACCGGGTATGGTTGTCCCACGGGTTGGTTGTCACAGCGGCCATATTGGAAAATTGAACGAACCAAAGAGTTTATCGAACAAAATCGAAGGATCGCAAGGGCAATACTTCCATCGTAATGTCACTTCAGTCCACTATCATACTGTGTGACAGAGATACGTGATTTTTTTTTTCGGAGGGCAAAAGTAAATTTTTGTGCATTTGTGTCGTATTCTCCGTTTTATTTCATATACTTTTGATGTAATATCTGTGATGCATGATATCACTATCCGTTTTGATTCAGACTTACTTTAGGAAGTTATGATTTGAAATGTGTTTTGGGGCTAGTTGTCTCAACTCGAAGGGGACTGTTAGTCACATGTGACAAAATGCAGTACATATGTAAACTGCATTTTTTGTTGGCTTATTCATTTCACTTTCTATGAAAATATTTATACCCCTCAATCACCTATGTGACTACCTGCCCCAGACACTGTGACAACCATCCCCGGCTCGGGGTTGAAAGTCACACTTTTTCTTCTACATAAGAATTGTTATTTTACCTCTATGGATGCTTGTTGTCAAAAGAGTATGAAAACAGTATCCATTGATATGAAAATATCAATAATAGTTTATAAAAGAGGACATTAAAAATGCAAAAGATACAAAATGTGACTTCCAACCCCGGTCTCCCTTACGTTCAAGTTTATAGAAGGAAACGAACTAGAGATCATGGTTCGATTCGAATCATGGTAATTTGTTTGTGCAAATAATATTTTCCCTATAAGATTTTCTATTATACTAGTATCAAGGGCTTCAACATACTGAGAGGTTTCCTTCCTATACTAATAACCAGTACTGGTTGAATAGAATATTTCAAAGTGATTGTTAATTTAGAAACTAATTCAGTGACTAACTCCTCACGTCTTTATTCAAGGGACGTTTCTCATATTTTTGCCCACAATGTATTCGTTAAAGTAGATTCTATACAACGAGAAGATCTCTGATTGGTTCAAGTGATGCTACTATTGTTTGGTCTTTCCACTGGTTCGGAATATCTTCTCTTTTGAGACAGTTATAAATTTCTAGCTACATACCAGTAACATATCTGCCATCGGCTCATCTGGCCGTAGACAAGGTAGGTACTAACCAACCACAATCGGAACAAATTGTTCGTTTAGATGATTTGACATACTAATATGTATATTACTAGAGTTTTATTCCAACACCAAACCGTTATTTCCAACACCACAACACGTCTTTCAATCACCAAACACATATTGAGGTGTTAAAAATTTGGGCCATTTGGATAAGCGGTTAGTTAGTACCTCATCTACAGGCAGATGGGGCGATGACAGATATGGTGCTTTCTTCGAGGTATGATACTCTGGAAGAATTCAATGTTTGATAATGGGAAATTATCGACTTCGTGTTGATGATGGACACTACTTTGCACTTATGAGAGCAAATAGCCCGAAATCGGTCTGCAAGTGTGCCAGTTCCAATAATTGAACATTGATTTCGGCAGTTGTATCGTCAAAAATATACGAAGAAATTTCTTTTGTGAAAAATCCTGCACTGACACCTGTCGGATGTAATCCAACGCCTTTCGTGATATTAGCCAGGGGAGTAATTTTTTTCTGTGATTTGATTTATAGCCAGTTATCAAGTATATATGTCCCGGCTACTAATATGTGAGACCTAAGTATCACGTTTTCTTCACATTTCCATCCGTAGGCAACTCTTCACTTACCGTATGATTTTATTCCTATTTCATCTTTAGTTTGTCCAGTTATATAAGGAACTTTTTGGAATTGTCCTTTCATGATGAGACGAATTGGATGATCCGGTAAAAATTGTTGTTGTCCAAATTTTCCTTCAATTACCGGTCCCCATATGACAACAGGATCAGATCCGAATTCCTTGAACCAAAAATCATTTGTCAACAAGCTCTCTACTGAATTGGAATGTTCATTCAAAATGTTTTCGTTTAGATATAAATTGAGGCCAGTTTTGAAAATTAAAAAAAAGTAAAGTGACACCTCAATCATTATTGTCGATAAAGGCGAACTGAATTTATGAGAAATGGTACTACTGAAGTAAACTACTGAAAGTTCATCCCGATTGAAGAATCCTTTTTATATTCTGATATATACGTATGTGATCATATTTCAAAGGTCATGATGCGATTTATTTGGCAAACTTTTCTATCTGCTTTTCACGATCAAATCATCAGAAAACAATTTTAAAGTTTACAACTTCAGTCAGTTTACAACTGACAACGTCAGTTTACAACTTAGATGAGTCATTTACGAAAGTCAGGTTATTTTGAAAATTGACTCGCAAACGCTCAACCTTAACTCCGACATCAAAGGAAAGATCACGCTAACACTACATACCTGAAATCCAAATAGAGATTCTGCTAATTGTTCAGCTGGTACTCTTTTCAGGCAATTCACTATATTCTCTGAAGTATCATCTGGACATCCAACCAAACGCGCCTGTTTCTTTGCCAGTTCTAGTTGATTATTTTGAATTGGGAATATACCTACTGAGTTACCGCTCATTGATACTGCCTTGTGAAATAAACCTGAACAAATTGAAATTGAATCAATAGTTGGCTTTCGCGTCTTATTAGGGTTTTGTTTTTCATAGAGTAGGTAACGGATAAACTAGCTTTTGTGTAGTAATTTCTGGACACGGCTATTAGGCGGGTAGCTGTCCTTCTGGATGTGTTGATTGTCACCTTGTAAACGCGAGGTCTCATAAGTGAAGCTATATACATATAATGACTGGCTCCTAGAAGTAACTCCGTGTGCTTCAACATTCAAGTTTGGCAACCAAGTATTGACAATATTTCACCATTGTCTATGCTACCCTGCCATAGGCTAACGAGTTAGAAACACGTTGATGCAGTTTGCTAACCATTTTCTTTTTTTGTTTGACTCTATGTTATCTTATCTTTGATTACTGGTTAAAAAAACAAATTTCAACCAGGTTACATACGACTAGTCGAACAACTCTTTTGTATAACAGTTCAAACTCAGTCACAGTAACCATCTTATCAATACTGAATCACTAAACGAAGCATTTCACGTAAGGTTTTCACTAAGACGGTTTCACAAAATCCGTAACACGTGTTTCTCTATTCAATAGGTTTCTCAAATGAAAATATCTCTCTCTCACTGAATTCGCGAATATTAAAGATACACAATATTCAACACAAATCAAGTGACTTGACTGTGATAAATTCGCCAAAGAATGATACTTTTCCAGATACTTTGAAATATTTTTGCCATTTTCAAAAAATCGCCATTTCGAAAAGATTGATGAAACTTGACTTTTGAAAATGGTTGCCATAATAATAGTCTTCGTCCTAATCAACTTTTCACCTGTAGTTTAGGATCGTCCGCAGTCGAAATAAACAAATTTTTGGTAACGACTACTGAAAAAATTGTAAATGCCATTGTATCAATACATAATTGATAGAGCATTGAAGAAGGATTCGAAGTGAGCACATTGAGGAAGAATTTGACATAATTGATACACAATATAGAGAAAAAAAAGGGTCCAGGTGATCATATCAGCCATCTATCAGAAAACAAAGTGACTTCAGTTAGGAATCTCTTAATTTTTTCATATGCTTTTGTAGGTGTTGCTCATTGGTGAGTGTCTGCTTCCTTCCAATGGCAACGCATCACACCAGATTGTTTTACTCGTTCAGAATTGAACAAATAAATTTTGATCTGAAATCTTTTTTGGTCAGTCGATTTAAAATGCCGTTTTGCAATAATTCAGTCAACGTTTTTTTTTCTAAATGAATTTCGTGAAATTAATGAAAACCATATTTTTTTCGATTGCATCAATTTCAATTCTAAAGACTAGGTAGCATTACCAAATCATGTTGTAAACTAAAACTAATATTCTCGCATGACATTCACATCAGGTAAATGTCATATCCGATATCATACATTATATCGACTACACATTCATCAACCAATTGTTTTAGATGAATATATGATGGTAACACTAGTGAAATGTGCTTCGAAAAATTGATGTGGTATCTTTGTGTTCGTACTGTCATCTGCTATCTGTACTGTACATCTTCGAACAAATCAACAACCGACAATTGCAAAACTCTTTGTAGGAAAAACATTTTGCTGAAATAATGAATAATGGAAAACACTTGAATAACCTAACCTTGAATAACCCACCAACATAATATGATTCATTTGCTGAATTATTGAAAATATCACTTGAATAAATGGTAATGAGTACCAATGTACACCTGTTCTAAATCAATCATATCGAAATTAGATCTGCTTACCTTCGGACATAGGAGATACCATATGCAGCAATGAACACCAACCTCCGGCACTAAATCCAAAAAGGGTGACAGAATTAGGATCACCTCCGAAATGTTCTATATTATTTTTGACCCATTTAAGTAGTACGACTTGGTCTTTGTAACCATTATTACCTGGCGCATGTTTATCTCCAGTGCTCAAATAACCTGAAATACAAATAGGTTTGTCAGGAATATAAATGTTCTGCTTTTTCTAATATTTTGTGTTTGGTCTGCTGAAGATGAATAGCTGCCACTCGAATTAACCAGAGACGTATGGCCCGCGAAAACACTGTGATCAGGTTTCATGAAATTATACAGGTCATTAATATAAATAATGAACGAAAGGGTGTCCAATAGTGATTCTTGTTGAACAACAAAATTTACCGGATTGAGATCAGAGAGGCAGTAGCCATTATACACTCTCAGAAAACAATTTTGGGAATTTGATTCAAAAAGATCGAAAGCAACCCCTTTGACATCATTTTCGGACATTTTTTCCTGATGAACTTTTCATGGGAAACACAGTCGAAGGCCTTTGATCAGTCTAATGGTGTAACTGTAGCCTGGTGGTTTATTTCATTTATTCAGTCGACCGCTGTGTGAACCGGTTGTTCGAATAGTAAGGCCGGACATTTGATTTTCATTTTCTATCGTCCAACCCGTTTTGGGAATCATACTTCAGAAGGTAGGACCCCGTTAGTCCTTAGCTCGAACAAGTTTAGACTTCTGAATTAACGGAAAAACAGAATTTAACAGATTTTCCAACTCCTATAACATTCCTTATTTCAAAACTTCCAACTTTTCTTTCAACACTTACTGCAGCATTTGTGGTGAAGAATAATTTTCACGAATGCCGAACTAATATTCACAATAGAAATCTTTTTTAAATCGTTCCAAAAATAAAAATCGTTGTAAAAAACTATAGCTTCAATTCGGTATCTTCACTCAATAGTTTCGAAAATATTTAGACTATATATTAGATAGAAAAACAAAAAATTATTTTCAAAATGTAAGTTTGTAACCTGGGAATCATTTCAGTTGTCCATTTCATCCAAGTATCTGGACAACATGGTGATTCATGGGATCATTGCGTTTTTCTTCTCATCTTTTCATGATATATTTTTCAACAATTTCCAATAATAATTCATACAGGGCTGTTGTTGGATTTTTGTCATATTCTTCTGGACATATTTGAGTTGTCCATGAATTCCAAAAACTCGCATTCGNCCGGCTGTTTTTGCTGTTTGCTGTTTTTTTCGGACGAACCCTTTTTTCAGACAGTGAAAATAGAATAATTTTTCAAGGCGGATTTTCCGTGTTTTTACAGATATATTTTTTCATCTGGTTCAGAGTCTGTATATGGAGCTGAAAATATATGTCTAGTTTTCCCAGTATTAGAATGAATCTATTCCGGTTCACCAGTTCATTCATATTTCCACGATACTCCCAGACCAATTTTGACGTCACTAGTGATCATCTTCAAGAGATGATCACTTGGTGATTGAAACACGTGTCGGAGTGTTAAGAATAACGGTTTGGTGTTGGGATTAAACTCCAGTATTAGAGAGTATTTCAATGTTATCACATTCAGTAAGGCTACACTTGGAGAATTGATATAAGCAGAAAATATGAATGAACTGGTGAACCGGAACCGGAAGAGATCACCAAGTGATCATCTTCAAGAGATGATCACTTGGTGATTGAAACACGTGTCGAGATGTTAAAAATAACGGTTTAGTGTTTGTATTAAACGTCCAGTAATATTCATTACTACACCCACCAAAGATTCCAAACAGTGCATCACAAGTATTGATCTAATCATTTTGTTGAAGCCCCAACCTTATTCACTGCAAGATTTTATACACTTCTTGAATGTCAGATGTATATTGTCCTAGCGAGGCACTAAAATGCAGATTTCTTTCCACACAGTATATACCAGCTCTCATCTCTTGTTCAGTGTTCGATCCGTATGTATACCAAATGTGTTCAGGCAGGCATAATCTTGGCATGACTGTACTTCATTAACTGTTTTCTGCTCAAAATGTCTTCGGTATCATGTAGTCCGTGAACATGTTCGTTTCTCTGAATATTAAGTCAGCCCAGAGTCAAATACAAGAGGTAGTAGCAGCAATAATTCTCCTTCGACTGATATTGATCCAAATTCGAACTTGACATATGATATTTCTGTACAGAAGCATAAGACCCAAGATGGAAAAAGAGCTACAGTCATTACATATCATGAAAAAAGTCTCTCCGCTGTGTTTATTTATTTATCTCTGATTCCATTATTCATTTCATATGTATGTTTTATTATTATTTTGTATAAATTGGTTGGAATATGACTTCAATTGTTGGAGATATCGACAGAAACCAAATCGAGCTTTCATCAAAAATGTTCTCTTATTTCCTCGAACTATAACTGGAAGCTGTGGGCATATATGCTCTGCTACTCGTGCCAAGTCGGGGATGATTTCTGATAGAAGATGATCAAGTTCAAATTGAAAGGGATATATTTCCAGGAGAGATCCATAAACATGGAGGAGTGGAAAGCCAAAACCTTTATTTACCAATGATCAATGTGCCATTAACGTCAATAACTGATAGCTCTGTTAGTCATTTTTGTACTTCGTATTACAAAAATATTGCTACTTTTGTTGTGATGAATTATCAATTCCATGTTTTCTCTTCTACTTACCCAGAGACGCTAATCTATAGTTGAAACTTATCAAGACTATATCCTGATCCATAAAATAATTTGGACCCATCTGATTACTGGAAGCTCCACCAATGAAAAAACTTCCACCGGGAAAGTCAACTATAACGGGTCGTTTGGGATTGCTCCAAAAACTTGGGAGCTGAAAAATATTCAGTAGTTCTATAAATCATTTTGAGTAAAAAGTATGTCTTGCTATCAACTCTATCAGCGAAGTGCAGCCTGTAAATATGGTCGACACTTAGTTTCCGTAAACTACATATATGCATGAAGACACCAACAGGAACCAACAGTTAGTAAGTAGTAGTATGCGTAGTAAAAAACTAACATAATCACGAAGGCAGATACAAACAGTTTTTGGAAATGTAATCAATAAACTAGGTATTAGAGTTTCTGATTGTCCTAATAATGGTCAATTTTGCCTTTTTCAACCTTCTATGCAATTCTCACCGTTCTGATAATCAGATGAATGGTCATTAGATTAAGCTTTGAACGAAAGTGAATATCCTCATTAGACAATCAAATGGCGAACTAGGCTAGTAGATAATACAAATTGGATACTAAAACTATCACACTGGCTCATAATTTATGACAACATATATGAAACTAATTCAATACTGGGATAATTGGTTTGTTTTCTAATTGAGGAAATATATGTTGAACTATCATCACTAACCTATTATTATTATAACAATTCAGTAATAAATTATCAAAATAAATGATAATATTATCGGTATCATAATGGCCATCAAGGTCGATCACGAATCCAAACGGTATGGTGTTTTTGTGTGCCCTTCAAAAATCAGTTAACATTTATTTGTAGATATCAGTCCATTATTTTTCTGTTATAATATCAAGCCCCTATCACTATTCATTATTAGCATATTTGTACCGCCTTAGAATCAATAAACGTTGTGTTGAGTTTTTACCTGAATTACTTTTTCATTTTGTATTTGTGAAGTCGGACAATAATAACACTGCCCGTGTGGCCAGGTCATTTTCATACTTCGCAGTGAGTTTGTATAATAAATTGATACAATTTGATACAGACTTGATACAGATTGGTACAAAAAACAGACATAGATACATACTATAACACATAAGTGGTAATTTTGACTCTTTAGAGTTATTTATTGAATACTATTGAAAGTTCACCAAGTCATTAGTAGACTTTAACTAATTGATACTTTTTGACTTCGATCATTATTGACTTCGTTTTTATCGTGGCATAATAGTAGAAGATTTGAATTTGAAATAAATTCATTCCAACTGTTCAACTGATGAAATATGTTGTATAAAATTCAGTATGTTCAAGAATGAATCGCCAGTAGGTTGGATAACAATATCCTGCCTTGACTATGCTCAGTTGGAAATTCAAAAATTCTTTTTTTTAAACATTACACTCATTTCATATGTACTGAAAATATGAAGCCCACAGATTACATAAATGTTGAGTTGGCTATTTTTTCGGACATATCTATTGGGTTGGCAGATATAAACAAGTAAGTCGATACTGATAACTCGCAACATTTTTATGCGAGTGAATATAAGCGACAAAGAGGTCCTAACGACGTGCCCTGTGTGAGAAAAGGACGCAGCATTGCAGCTTCATCCGATGCGTCCCTCTGATGAAAATTATTGTTGGTATTTGTTCCTATAATTGAGAAGAATATCGATAGAATAATGAGTACTCAGTACAATTATTTGTTCCCGTCCAAATTTTCAGTATGTTTTGCAATGATTTGTGTTCCATTCGCTAATGCATGAGATGTTGAAATGAATACTCGATTTTCTGTTTCAAACTGTAACCAGTTGACATCCTGCCATTATAATCCAACCACATTGAAAAATAATCTATTCATGAAACGACACCACTCATAATGAATTTTGATATTTCTGTAGCATCTTCACATACGTCCATTAAGTTGGTAAACGAATCTATGGCAGTCAGTTACCAACTCGTCCCGTCGGTTTGAAATAATATGGTGAAATCTCTCCTGAAATTTCATTGAATTGAGTACTGACTCTATCCATTATAGTGATGCCTGTTGGAATAACAAGGTTATTTTGGACCTATGTATAAGACATCTCAGTTTCTAGTTCCTCTGACAAATTATACCCTACTCTATGGTCATATCTATCAAACAATGCTATAGCACGTCAAAAGTTGGTAAATAATTCACTGCAAGTTTAAGAGTTACATTTTATGCTGGTTTACATCTTCACATAGTTACTACATATTTTATGTTACAACATATCGATGTTAATTCATCCGTGAGTTTGTTATACTTTATTTCAGAAAAGTTTTGCTTACGAATACGATTTTGCATGGAATCAAATAATCTCTGTGAAATCTAGCATTTCTCCCGAATGCAGTTGAATGGCTGGGAGAAGAATGAGAATTGTTTACCATCAGCTATCCCGAAATGATGCTTATTATTCACAAGTATATTGCTATACTTTCGAAAATGAATAAAATTTTACTGGATACCTTGTATTCTAAAATATATATTAAAAAAGTTCGAGGCATTGATTTCTGAAATTTTTATAATGGATATTTTTCAGTAACACTAATAAACAAACGTTTGAGTTCAGTATTTTCAGAGAAATGTGGAATGGGATTGTGCATGAAGCTTGTGAATGCAACAGGCTGCAAAAGCAAATGAGTATCAACGATATTATCGTCGACTTTCAGTGTTTGTTTTGAAACCAAGGATTGATGTGAAAAACATACATTAATCAATCAAATCTAGCAAGATTTCAGTTTCAATTGAGTATTTTGAATGGGCAATTATTGATATTATAAAAATGTAATAACTTCGCATTCGTGTGGATTCTTCTGCTACTTCAAATCCTGTGATAAAAAATATAAATTACCCGATTCTGTAAATCTAGTCATCCACAAGACTCCAAAAAACTATGTTTCTAATACATATTTGAGGGAGGCGTTAACGATAATGCAAGAAACACGAAAAATGATACTTATGACGTGGCTTATAATAGAATATTCAGAATGTGAAGTATCATTGTCATGCTCACCATTCATTCAAAAGTTCATATCTGCTAGTGAACAGTATCTACAACGTACCTTGGTGGTATAAACATTCAACGTGAGGCAATCTTCGGAAGAGTTTCCGAATATCTTGGGCTGCGAACATAGTGGACCATCTTTAGTGGCATCGAACACTCCTTCCCATTTGCCAATAGGTTGTGGAGGCTAAAAAAACATTGATAAGTATGATATATTAGGAAGTGGCGGTTATGTTGGTTTCATCATTTCTGATCCACATATTTACCTAAAGGCCAATTTTCATTTCCGTGTTTTTCGGGTAGGCAACACAGACACGCACATAAAAGGGAAACGATGCTAATACTTATCTCCTGTGATGTTAACTACGAGTTAACTGTATCGAATTCCGCTGTTAGTTAGTATCACAAATACAATTATATCACAATATGCTACAAAACCATAATGCAAACTGATTTTTAGGACAAACGAAGATGCCTATACCTACTGACAGAGCATTTCGAGAAAGTGTGCCGGCCCTCCAGAGCTCGTCATCATCAGTATTATTATAATTTCCGACATTTATATTTCTTCAACTTCACCTTTCCAAAAAAAATGTCCTTAATGAGGAATAGTGCACGACTATCGGATATAATCAAATGTCTGTTGTAGTACTAACCAGGAAAGTATTCATTCATGACAATGATTGAACAATTTTCACAAACATTTTTTTTGGAGATTCGTTTCTCTAACAACTTAGTTTCCTCCCACCAAGGAAGCTACGGTGTTAACGAAACGTGTAGGTTCCTCCGTAGCTTCCACAGTAGCTTCCTCCTGCCGAGGAAGCTACGGTGTTAGCGAAAAACATCTTGAAAAAAAATTATGGGTCCCTGGGACCCGTTACAAAAATAAGCAGAAAAAGTGAACTATTCCGCAAAAATTTATTTCAGAATGAGAACAAATATTCTATGATGTAATGTCAACCCATATCAAGTATAAAAAAAATTCACAAACAATTTGGACAAATTGTTTTTGAACATGGCAAACATATAGGTTTTTTGCATATGTTGCAACTAGGGTTAGTTTTACGGTCGTTCTTCGATGGACATACAGAACATCTTTTTCTTTTTGACTTGGAAACTTCAGCAGGTAACTCAACAGGGCTTAAAGATATCGAAGGGTGTATCTCGTAATTTGCGATTAACTTTTGGATGTCTAATTTAAGCCTCCCACAAAGAAATTCCAGTACGTCTGATTTGTGTCCCATATGGAGAAAATTGATAAATAACTCTACTGTTGATAACAGATACATTCAATATCATATGGAAAATGGTCATTGGCCATCTTCTAGTACGCCGGGATGTTGAATAATTAGCGCACTTTTGGTCTAACGCGTCAACACCTCCTTTTGTACTATTATATAAAAGGATAATTTCGGGTTTTTTTACTCGTGTCATAGTATTATTATTGTGCACGCTGGATAACAAAACGACCGATTTATTTGGTTTAGGCACATATGAAACCAAAGTTAACTGTGACTGCAAACCAAAAATAAATGATTGTGTGGGCCTTTTCCTCACTGGTAGGAATTCCGGAGGGATACACATCTTTTATTTTTTTTTCATAGTTCCCACGCATGTCAAATCTCGTTTCAGTAATTCATTCACTAATTCGATAGAAGTATACCAGTTATCAACTGTTATGTTTCTTCAAGTTTTAATTTTATTATTGGTTCCACTAACCGTAAAACAACTTGTGTAGCATGGGTTGATTCATTTTTCGTGTTCCCCCTTTTATTTTTCCCTCTAGTGGCACCTGTATAGACTTCAGAGTTAACCATATAGTGTGTCTTGGAGTCAGCCATAATTTGTATTTTCATCCCATATTCTGAGGGTTCATATGGAAGGTACATTCTTCTAAAGCCACAGCGACCTCGCATATATATTTCTTAACATATCATGTGTATCGAAATACATATTTTATACATCGAAATAACTTTTGAAACAAAACAAATGTGACTCAAACCTGTCAACATCATTATTTGTGTACGTAAATTTCCCAGTGTTTTGATATTTTGTGTTGAATTGTATCAAAAAACGAACTAAAAATGGATATAGAAGATGAAAACACCACCAGAAATGAGAGAAGTTGCTTAAGTTGCCTTACTGAATTTATTACCGGAAAAGTCAAAGAAAGTATATAATAATACTTCGAAGTATGATCACCTTATATCAAGGAATGCATTTAGAAAAAAAAATTTTGAGCATTACTTAAAAAGCGAAAACTTTTTCTTGCGAAGATATCAATAATTTTTCAACAAAAGCATCTGATGCAACTTCAACAAAAATTTTTATTAGTCGTGGATAAAGTTTAGTATTCTACTCTTTTATAATGGTTATTATCCATCGGTGATTCAGGCAACGAGCCGCAGGCAAGTAGCCTTAAACTTCACCTCGTGAATAATAGTCTTTATTGAACGCTCGTTGTATAATATACTGTATAACAGCAGGTGGTTACAAAAAATGAAATACAATTCTACAAATTGCAATTACAAATATAACAGCCAACATACAAAAATAGTCCCCAAATGCAACTTCAGACATCACGCTGAAATTTGTATGAAATCAGTTACTTATTTATATACTTTCTGGTTTTCTTCTTCATTTTTCGATAGTTATTTTTGTAGCTACAAAGCCCAAACATATGAACACAAGTATCAGGTGTTCCAATTAAATTTCGTAGGTATGTTTGAAGAATTTTAATAGCATTTTAATTTTTTCTATGGGATATGACCAATTATACGTAGGTATATTGGGAATCTAGGGTTGGGCATTTAGTTAATTTTGCCACCTTGTGGCCCTTACCTGCCAATAGGTTGCCAACCACTGTGATAAATAAATAATTCTGATAAAACAGGTAGATTAAAAAATCAATGACAAAACAATATTACTTCTAGAAAAACAGGTAATACACAAATATGTTTATATCTGGCTGTGGCACTAAATAATTACTAAGTATGTCGATATTAGTATATTGCTTCGTGTAATATTATGGCAAGCGTGAAAATTGACGGGCTAAACACAACATTACCTCTTCACCTAATAATTTTTTTTTTCAGAAAACGTTCTTCAGAACGTGATGGTTTTCTAACTTTGCAGAAAAACATTTTTCATGTTCTCAAATATCAGTTGCGATCCATTTTCAATTGGCCACCCTGTACGTTCCAAATATTCGACAAACGATTTCTTTGGATGCATATGTAATCGTATTATTTCTACTTCATTAGTTCAAAGAGAAACTTACTTGAAATCTCAAGTCATTTATAGGCGGTTTTGCGTAGCGAATTCCTCTGTAAGAATAAATAGTCCTTCCAAGTCTAGACTTCTGTATGCTTCCTTTTATTTTCCCCAGTGGTGTCGTTACTATTGGACACTCGTCACAATAAACCTCCAAATTCAAACTGAAGAAAGTAAGTAGTGACAAAACTGTTATTTTGTGCATTCTGACGGAACCTTAATCGGTGAACAAATTATAATACCTATAACAAAATATTTCCATAACCTACTGTATTTAAAGTGTTTCTTTATCAGTACCCCGTTTTTCTCCTTCTAAACTGAATTATCTTGATGCGATTCACCTTTTGAATATTAACGATACGCTACTCGGAATCAGTTGAAACAATATTTTTCATTATGAGAAACAATGCGCACCTCAGTATGTCGGCTTTACCCACAACTGAGGCAAGGAAAGATTTAAATAGTAAATTAGGCCTGATCAATATAATTGAAATGAATGTCCATAACAAGTTTATTATTGAAAAATAAAAGATGATTCATTACGAGGTCAGTTCACCTGTCGAACCACTCGAAGATGGATCCGGCGTTTAACTTCTTCTTTAGTCCAGTCTAGCTAAGTTGAATCCGATAAACAACTTCAACTACATGTTTAAAATATTTCTGTGTCATATACGTATACAATGCATTTCTTTAATGCAACCCCACCCTTTAATTTTTTGAACGGGACAACTCAAAAAATTGAAATTTGGGATAAGGAAAGTAATGCATGAATACTTTATTTGGAAGTGACATTGACAGATAAAACTCACAAGATGGCGACTGGGCGCCATCTGGGAAAAAAATCAAATGGAAAGGAGGGTCTTGTGACAAATCTCTTTGAAGCTTCTGAAAAATGCTTCACAACCCTAGAATATAATGTCGATATCTTCAACTACAACAAAATGGCGGAACTTTTAATAATTGCCTGAATAAATTGACATTTAACTACATAATATGAAGTAATGAGCTTGAGGTCAGTTCAGAACATGCTCGAAATGGTTGCCTTGAACTTCTTGACATAGGAACAGCCTATCCGATATTGCACGTCAAACATTTTTGAACACCAGTAACGTCAATATCAATACAAATATTGATTCTTCTCTGCCGTATATCTAATATTGAAGCAGGTTCAGTTTCGTACACCTTTTGCTTCACCCAAACATTCTCCGGAACATCCCAGGTTATTATGAATCATTCCTCTAATGCTTTGAATTTGTTGGAATATTTTGGATCATTCTCAGCTTCTTATGAATGGTATCATAATTTGAAGTTAAAAAAAATCAGTTCAAAATATGTTTCTCTGTTAATCAGCTGTCGCCCCCATACGAATGACAACTCTCAGAAGTTGAGAACTTGTTCGAGTTAAGGACTAACGAGGTCTTACCTTTTAACGTGTGATTCCCAACACGGTATAAATATATCATTACAGATCCTTCAGAGTATCATTCTTTGAATTAGGATGAAGCGGACAACAAACAACAGGTTTGTCATCGCTTCATCTGCCTGTGAACGAGGTAACCAACCGTATATCCGAAATTTCTCGTATGAGGAAAGAAAACTTTTCACATATAGTCAGTGGGCATACTTGAAGACTATCTATGCATCAAATTATCTGAAGGAACAATTCATTCATTTGGTCAGTCGGTAGCCAAACGGTTCGGTGTGGGTGCTTTGTTCACTCACTCGAATTGACTGCCGTGCTGGTCGGTGGTTCAACCCCTAGTCTGAACGATCGATCTTCACTTGCTACCGACAACCCGTGTTAGGAATCACACGTTAAAAGGTAAGACCTCGTTAATCCTTGGCTCGCACAAGTTTCGACTTCTGAGGGTTGTCGTTCGTAGGGGTGCGACAGCTGGTTAACGGAAAAACAGATTTTTTAAACAGATTCAGGCTAGTCTCACCTCCCTTCACTGTGTTAATGGACTGACACCTGTCAGAAAACAACTACTCCCCTGGCTAATACCACGAAGGGCATTGGATTATATCCGACTTTTCAACATCCATAATCTTGGTCAATCCGTCTTCACCTGATGTTAATATGAGTAACTCACAAACAGATATTGATAGGATTTCCCGTCAATGGGAAGATCACGATTTCTATCAACCCTAACAAATGCTTGCTCTATATAAACGCTCAGTTCAACAAGTGACAGAAATCGAAAATAAATGTAGACTATGTATCAATTATGAAAATTTAAAATGGTTTAAAATGGGTGTCAGTCGCTGAAAATCTCGGGGTTCACGATGATAACCCATTCACATATTCCAAACATGTCTCAGTCATATTCACAGCAATTAAAATCTGTTTAAAATCTGTTTTTCCGTTAACCATCTGTTGGACGATAGGAAGTGGAAATTGGTTGTCCGGCTTCGCGGTTCGAACCACCGGTTCAAACAGCGGTCGATTGAGTGTGTCGAGCAAACCACTCACGTCAAACCACCAGGCTACTGTCCTACCTACGATATGAAGGTTGTTTCTCATGTATTGCACCACTATATGTGAACGAAGTAATTGATCAGTATCACTATTTTTCAGATTTGGAAGCCGTCGATTTTTTTAATTTCTTCCTGATGTTTCGTTAGCGCGAATGGCTAGCATCTTTATAGGTTTTTATACATCCTGAGTAATCTCCGATGATTGGATATTACGGCTGCGTAAGGCATATTTATGTTGACTGAAGTATATTACCGGAGTTTTTTCCCAACACCAAATCGTTATTTCCAACACCTCGACACGTGTTTCGATCACCAAGTGATCATCTTCAAAGAGAAAGATTAAAACTAGAAATTAACGCGAAGCTAACCCTATTTATGCTATATAGATATCCCATACAGGTAAACCATCCAGGTGAACCACCCATTCAGGTATACCAACCTGAATTAATTATTTAGTTTTTTCTCATCTACTATTTTACAATATATGGTTAACTGTTATAGCTGTATATAAAACAATGTTCAGCTATATAAAAATTAATTTCACAATATTGCCTATCTAAATTTATTTTTGCAATGTGTCCCTACGTAGTAATCAGTAAACCCAACAATATTATTTTAACACAACTAGATGCCTATGAGAGTGTAGAAATAAGTAAACACAATAATATCATGAATAACGATGACGGACCTATACCAAAGATCATACTATATAGCTTGTTAAAATAATATTGTTGGGTTTACTGATTACTACATAAGGACACATTGCAAAAATAAATTTAGATGGGCAATATTGTTAAATTAATTTTTATATAGCTGAAAATTGTTTTATATACTGCTATAACAGTTAAACATATATTGTAAAATAATAGATAAGGAAAAATTGTAAAATTAATTTAAGTTGGTATACCTGTATGGGTGGTACACCTGGATGGTTTACCTATATGGGATATCTATATAACATAAATAGGTGTCAACTTCGCGTTAGTTTCTAGTTTTAATCTAACTCTCTGAAGATATCGAGGTATTGAAAATAACGATTTGGTGTTGGGAAAAAAATCCAGTTATATGCATTACTACACACCAAAGGTTCCAAACAGTGCATCATAAGTTGACTAAAGTAGTTTAGTGTGCTAACATAAATACAGCCGAATAAATACGCCAACATAAATAAGCCTTACGCAGCCGTAATATTCCGTCATCGGAGATTACTTACGCTAGCAAAACGTCAAGAAAAAAACTGAAAACCTTGGCCGCGAAAGCCTCAACCATTTTGTCAAGTAATTGATTCTTTGTCACTACCCGATCAGATATTCAAGAAAACACTTTTAACTTTTAGATTCTTAATTCACACTGAATTCTGCCCTGTTCTTTTTGATTGGTCTGGTCTTCGTCTAACTCTTCAAAAACATATTTTCACATCGGAAGTAAGTGAAATAAAATCAATCAACTCAAATTAATAAGAATGTGCTTGCTCAATGGTATATATTGAAAACTACCACCTACCAAAATGAGTGAATCGATTCACTTTTGGAATATTGCAGAAAAATTTGTATCTGTTTCAACTGATATAACATCGGTTCATGCTGACCTCGTAATCATTGGTGGAAAAGGAGATGAATTAAAAGTGTTAATTCAGTAGCGAAAATGGAAAATGGATTCACGTTCGATATATAAGGTTGGAGGATGAGTAGCAAAACACCAATATTTTTACTGCATGGCATTCAGACCATGGGAATTCCACAATTAATTATTAGAAGAATTGTGAAACAGGTTTAATCGATTGGGTCAATGTGAAATACGTTGAAGAAACCCGACAGATCAGTTGAATGAGTTTAATGTACGTCCCGATGAGGTTTAGTGTGGTAAAACCAGTATAAAAAGTCGCTAATAAGACTGGCGTTATAAGAAAGCACTTGCAAAGAATCCCCCTCAAAAAAATAACAATGGACATTTCAAAATTAATTACATCAACATCGCTTGAAAGAAACTAGATTTGACTGTTAGTGCCGTATCGTACAAAACCATTAAATTCAGTATGATGTTTTGTGAATTGAAGAAACTGCCTTCACGCGAAGCAACGATATGTAGATAGTAGAAAAGTTCAACAGTTCACTATTCTATATCCTGAATGACTCTATAGAACCTTATTTTCAAGTCAAAAATCCATTAACATATGTAGTTAGTGATATTTCGACAAATATTCTGGTAATCAAGAGAAAGTTTGGACTAAATGAAAGTGAAACGTAAATACTCAACGGAAAAGTAATAGAGTAGTATGGGTGTTCTTTTAATTTGACCTCTTTATTATTTTTTCGGATTTCTCAAATGGCATCACATAAATTCAGACCATTCTCAGATGTTTATCGTTTGAAAATTGCCTTTTAAATAAAGTATGCTGACAAACTATGAACATTTTGATCAAACAATAAAGAAATTGATTTTCTCGTATTTTCTGAAATACTTTCAAACTTAACGAAAATAATATTATTGAACGAAATTATTGAACATAACTAGTCAAACAACGATTCACACGTGTTCCCAATTTCGCCAAAATCACTTGTGAGCAATGAGGCATATGTCCTCTTTTATGAACAGGACATAACGAAGCAGCACCTTTGATGTGATTTTTTTTCTCTTATTTCCTTTTTTTTATAATCTTAGTTCTTTGAATTGATTTGTATTTCATGATTGTTCCAAATTTCATTATTTTTTGTAATATTTTTATTCAATTCATAAACGAAGTAACAATGCAATTAGATTACAGAAAAAAAAAGCAACAACTAGTTGTGAAATCATAATTCAGTAACGAAAATTCCTGCATGAAGCTGACTCTCTGAATGTCACTGCATACTAAAATGAAAATATGGCATTAGAATCTTCCCCTAGAAATATGTAGCTGTCTCCTTTCGAATTCATGAATTTTGACAACTAGTATAAGATTCATTGGTATTTGGAGCAACCCACAAATAGGTAAATAATTATTGTTTTGATATCTCAGATAAGGTAAATATAATTCAGGTAACATGTTTGTTATTTCAGGTACCTATGCGACTGTATTTCGAGCGGAAATTTACGCTATTGAATTGTGTGCTGAGAGATTGGAAGAATCCAACCTCATACACGAGTCAATGAAAATATTCTGCGACAGTCAAGCGGCGTTGGAAGCTTTTGGCTCCTACCAAGCAACGTCTGAATTGGTAGCAAGTTGCCAAAAAGAACTCTACTCAATAGGAAGATATTGTATCTGGTCTGGATTCCTGGCTATACTGGCCTGAAAGGCAATGAGGCTACTGACTCATTTAAAAAGAAGGGGACTACAAGCAGCTTCTATGAAATTTTTGAAAAAACTGGAAAAAAATTGGAAAAGGCTTGGAAAATTACATGTACCTATATCAAAACTGTGAAAGTGGGAAAAATTATATTGAAACCAGGCGTAATTCTGCATATATTTGATTGCCAAATTGATAGACCGACGGCCCATACATCTGAAGCTCTACCGTTTGTTCAAAAAAGGAAAAACAAATTTTGTTGAATATTTGTAACGAAGATATCGCTGAAAATCAAATCATGTCTGATGAAGCAGGTACACAGGAAAAGACCTTTGATGTTGGAATTCAAGTTAATGAACAGGTTTTTCGAAGATTAAAAGCTAAACAGACCCTAAATATTATATACCACCGTAAAAGAAATTGTTCTGAAGAAATAGAAAATACTGAATGTATTGGAAAAAATTACTACTAAGTTCCCCCGAGGACAGTGAGAGTTTGAGTACATCAGACAAGACTTCTGTTGATACATCATCAGATTCTACTTTGTCTGGTATATTAGTTGAAAACTGGAACTCGAAAAACAATATTGAGCGAAGATCTATTTACGTCATAGAGAAAAATCCGAAATTATGTCTTGGAATCCCAAGGTACTCTTTATTTATTATAGAGAGGTTGTGGAGGCTAAAAAAATAATGATAAGTATGATATATAAGGAAGTGGCGGTTATGTCGGTTTCATCATTTCTGATCCACATATTTACCTAAAGGCCAATTTTCATTTCCGTGTTTTTCGGGTAGGCAACACAGACACGCACTTAAAAGGAAAACGATGCTAATACTTATCTCCTGTGATGTTAACCACGAGTTAACTGTATCGAATCCCTCTGTTAGTTAGTATCACAAATACAATTATATCAGAATACGCTACAAAACCATAAGGCAAACTAATTTTTAGGACACACGAAGATGCCTATACCTACTGACAGAGCATTTCGGGAAAGTGTGCCGGCCCTCCCGAGCTTGTCATCATCAGTATTATTATGATTTCTGACATTTATATTTCTTCAACTTCACCTTTCCAAAAAACATCGGCAAAAATGTCCTTAATGAGGAATAGTGCACGACTGTCAGATATAATCAAATGTTTGTTGTAGTAGTAACCAGGAAAGTATTCATTAATGACAATAATTGAACAATTTTCACAAACATTTTTTATTTGGAGATTCGTTTCGCTAACAACTTAGTTTCCTCCTACCGAGGAAGATACGGTGTTAGCAAAAAACGTCTTGAAAAAAAATTGTGGAAATTATTCAATTACTCATGGATATTTTCATTAATTTTCATTGAATAACGGGTCAGTCCACAAGTATTTTGTTTTTCGTCGTATTTGTTTTTCGTTAGGAATTCTACATTCTACTGTATAAATAGATTTTGGGGGAGATGAATTTTACGAATTTTAACTCTTACTACTCATTTTCAAATCAACATATGTGAAGAGAGGAATGAATAAAGTAAAAAATTAATAAAAATATGGAAATGGATCATAAACTTCAAAATATGAACTTTACTACTTACCCGTTACAAAAATAAGCAGAAAAAGTGAACTATTCTGCAAAAATTATTTCAATATTTTATGATATGATGTTAACCCACATCAAGTATAAAAAAAATTCACAAACAATTTGGACAAATTGTTTTTGCACATTGCAAACATATAGGTTTTTTGCATATGTTGCAACTATGGTTGGTTTTACGGTCGTTCTTCGATGGACATACAGAACATCTTATTCTTTCTGACTTGGAAACTTCAGCAGGTAACTCAACAGGGCTTGAAGATATCGAAGGGTGTATCTCGTAATTTGCGATTAACTTTTGGATGTCTAATTTGAGCCTCGCACAAAGAAATTCCAAGTTGTTTGATAAATTCAGTACGTCCGATTTGTGTCCCAAATGGAGGAAATTGATGAATAACTCTACTGTTCATAGCAGATACATTCAATATCATATGGAAAATGGTCATTGGCTATCTGCTAGTACGCCGGGATGTTGAGAATAATTGGCGCACTTTTGATTTAACGCGTCAACACCTCCTTTTGTACTATTATGAAAAAGGATAATTTCGGGTTTTTTTACTTGTGTCATCTATAGTATTATTATTGTGCACGCTGGATAACAAAACGACCGATTTATTTGGTTTAGGCACATGTGAAACATGTTAACTGTGACTGAAAACCAAAAATAGATGATTGTGTGGGCCTTTTCCTCGCTGGTAGGAATTCCGGAGGGATACATTTCAGAAGTACGTCATGGTTTACATTACACCAACGGTCGGCAACAGGCGGACCGCGAACGGTCGAACCTCGGACCACCAAATATTGTAATGTGTTATACACCAAGTATAAATTAATAAATAGATAAGGTATACTATACCTTTATCAATCAAAGTAATATTTTTTTAAAATATGAAATGTGCAAGAAACTAGCTATAAATATGGCCACTATGTTTAGCTCGACATATACATATGTGAAACATAATTCTCAAAGATGAAAAACAAATATCGTTTGAGATTAACGAACGTCCACCTAGAAGACACACTTCTAATCTAATTTGCTATTCCTCTCGAGAAACAAACTATAAAAAACTGGCTCAAGACCGTCAATGTAATTTCTCACATTAATTTTAGGTCTTGTGTTTTATAATTCAGAACTTGATTTAAAACCATAATAATACTTAGGTAGCACTTAATTTCTATCAGTTGTTTTTTCTGGACCTTGTCGAAATTTTCCCACAGAATCCGAATCCCCACAAAACTACTTGCCAACCCTGGTTTACACGGTCAAATGCTTTGCGGACATCGGTAAATACCGTATCCATTTGGGATTTACATCCAAATGTTTCAAATACCCGGCTTCCAAAAATAACCAAATTTGTATTGATCGACTTATTTGACATGAAACCATGCTGCTCCATGCCAAAATAAATATGCGTTATTTGATAATTTGTCGAACGCCACACATGAACTGCGTCAATTCAAGTGTAGAATAAGTCTGAGGATGTCAGAATGAAAAACTTTTCAGTTTGAGTTTTTTTGATAAGCTGTATCAGAAGTGGATGAACAATATCAGTTCACGAATATACGGAAGCGTAGAAGGGCCAAAGACTATTTGTTAATAAGATACACCATAATTTCGATTTGAAAGTCGAAATTTCGACTTTTATCTCGTAATTTCTACTTTTACCTCGTAATTTCGACTTTTATCTCGTAATTTCGACTTTCATCTCGAAATTTCGACACTCTTTTCAAATCACTTCGACAGTGCTCCAATCTTCTCATAGTGTTATGTTTTTTTACGAAGAAATCTGACAGAAACCGATTTTATTGAATATTCGAAGCCTACTCATTTTTTGATTGAACGTTTGGGAACCATTCTGCTCCAGTTAGTGTTTTTGCGTCATTAGGTCTCTATGATTTTTCGAAACGAGGCGAGAAAACCCATAATACCTAAGAAATGAACACTGTATCTCTTCGAAGAACATATCGACAGTATTAGTTGGTTGACAATGCAAAATGTGTTTCTACATGACGTTTAAGATATGAATGTGTAGAGTATTCTTTCAAAATGTTAATAAATTTCTACCAGAAATTTCTTCAGTTGTAGTGAAAAACTGAATTTTAGATAAGTTTTGTTAATGAAGTAATGATATTATTGATCAGGTTGATTTACTGTGATGAGAAGCTAATTTTTTTTGGCCACAGTCGACTTTCTTCTACTCCTGCGGAAAGCATTTACTTTTTCAAAAAGGTACTGAATAATATCAATGCATACTCACCAATTAAAATTTTATTGAAATAACATAAATAATCCACTTCTCAGGTTAATGTATAAATCAATTGTGGCATAAGGATCTAAGGACCTTGTGTAATTATTTTCTTCATAAAAATTGAACAAAATTTCCAAAAGTCTTCATCACAACCTGTCCGGGGATATGTACACTTCGACGAAAAATGGTTAAAAGCAAATGATGGAATCTTGATGAGGTGATCTGTAACTCCATAAAGAGAAGGCATCGCATACAATATACTTGGTCTCTCTGCTGGAACAATAGCATTTCTTGTTTTCCGTATTCTATGAATTCTCCATTCAAAATATACTTGAACAAGATCACTCTGAAATAAAAATTATAATTAAAATTTCATTAACTACAACTTATCTCTTACTTGTACTAATGGTATGAAACAAAAGTGAACTAGAGACTTGTGCGAAAATGATGCATCAAATAAATTGTCTTTTATTAGGGTTTGAAATAAATTCATCTAGTATTGTGCATTATGTTTATGTAATAAGACCACCAAGATTCTATCCTTTGATTGTGCATGCTTTTTCCATACAAAAAAACATGGTCGATTTGTTGATTCAGTAAATACTTCATGAAAGGCTTTTTGTATCCTCTCCATTACTTCATTTTCAGTGCCCATATCGGTTCGTAAAGTTCTGGGACATCCTCTTTTTAAGAAATATCCTCCAATTACCTGGGAAAATATTAATTAATTTGAAAAAATTTGAATCGGCAGCTAAACGAACATCAGAGAGAAATCAATTTGCATTATTTAATTCTATTATTTTGATCATGACGAATGTGACGATGATATGATCTTCAAAATTACATATTTTTTCATGAGAAATAATGAATAGTGTAGTAAAATTTAATGAAATATCATTGACATGAGCATCTTCGAAAATGTACATTAAACTGAAATATTTGTTCTTGTTTCAACATCAGTTCGAAATGATTATTGTTGAAATTATTGATTGATTCAGAGTTAATGATTATTTCTAACCTTAGAGTCGCTTGAGGTTGATCCCACTTTCAACCACATATTTCCATTGAATCTCAATCACACAACAATTTCACGAACCTCCTGTTACCATCACCTCTTAGTAAATTATAATGCACTCAAGGAACCAAATTTCTACTTTTGACTCAAAATTTTCAGATGAAAGTCGAAATTTCAAGATGAAAGTCGAAATTACGAGAAAAAAGTCGAAATTACGAGATAAAAGTCGAAAATACGAAATAAAAGTCGAAATTACGAAATAAATGTCGAAATTGCGAGATAAAACTCGAAATTTCGACTTTAAAGTCGAAATTATGGTGAATCAAATAAACAAATAATCTTTGGCCTTTCTACGCTTCCATACGAATATATTCAACTCGTAATTATTGTAATATATGAAAGTCGTATCAATGTATTTTTTTTGTGATATCGTTTTAGAGGCCAACAATAATTGTAAAACGATAAACAATATTTGCGCAGTCCGGAGGCCTGATAATTTTGATTTTCAATAACTTAACATGCGTTGCAATCAATATGCTTATGCAAAACTTAGTGATATTTGAATAATACGCTATCTGTTAAAACATAAGGTGAAATTTCATTTTCCCCAAAAAATATTCATGTATTCATCAATTTCTATTTTGTCCCTTCAGAGTAGTCTTTCAGAGTAGTCTGCGTAGACACTAGAAAAAAAAAGAAAAGAACTAACTTAAACTATAAATTGTGAGTCAAGGCTGACTCACAATTTATAGGCTATAGTCTATTCATTCCCAATTGGAACCACAATAAAAATAAGAGTACAATCATAAACCTTTTTTCGCCTGTAGCCCCTAGTCGCTCAGATAATTATTAAACGTTCTATCAAATGTAGTTGAGGAGTGAAGGCTCGGCTAGCTAGACTGGCTGAATACTAATTTTTGACCGTTTCACAATATTTCTTTATCAGTGCCGTGTGTTCGTGGGGTTAGGTGAGGTAGTGAGTGGTTTTGCAAACCGATTTTTGAAAACTTTTTCTAGAGATCAACTACCCTAACAATCGACGAAACTTGGTTTGACACCCATGATGTTGTCAAATATAGCTGAGTAGACGAAACCAAGTATTGTGCTTTGAACACACCTTCTTCAAGGGGAAAACGTGTTATAATTTTGCATGCCGGGAATGAAAGTGGTTTCGTACCTAACGCTTTGCTTCTGTCGGCCAAAAATATAAAGAAATCGTCTGCCATATTGACCGTCGTATATATTGATTCGATGTGGAGAACACGTGGTCATATTCTCTTACGTTTGCCTCCATACTATTGTGTGTTGAATCCAATTGTAATAGTTTGGGCCACAATGAAAGAAAACTTGCGGAAATGTAATCAGTCACCGACATTGAATGCTGTAGTGCTTGACAATATAAGGCAAGTGGTGAATGAAGTAGGTAATAGTGATGTGTGGAAGAACTGTGCGGCCCACGTTATAAAAGAAGAGAACAAATATTATGTGCAAAGTTCCATAAATCCGATCGTTATTCAACCCGATGATGATTCCACCTCATCCGAATATAGCGAAGAAGAATTTTGATTTTTCCAGCAATTTTGTTGGCCTCTATCATTTTGTAAATATGTTTGACGAGAATTTGGTGTGATTATTGTGTTTTCATTGTATTTTAGAGTTTTCGACTCAGAAATTAACTACCTTAAATTTCGAAGTCTTTCATAATTACCCATGGTGGAAAAATTCAGTTGAGATAACTTTTTCATGGGGTGATCAATTGCTATGATTGTAAGAATAAGTAACTAAAAAACTACCACTGAAAAATAATAAGCCGACGCCTATGTCGAGGCGGGAATTCCTTCTCTGTGCTGTTCCAATTGGCATTGGAAATACTATACCTAAGCAATGCTTGTGTTGTAGTCATCAATCTAGATAACATTGATTATTTACATAGTGAGTGGTGAGTAGAAAGAAGGAAAAAACCAATTTTAATTCATTGTGAGGGAATGAGATTGTGATTATTAATGGTATTTTGTATTTCTTATCATTATTCAAGTTCGTATACGGTTTTCAGTTTGTTATGATTTTGGTTCATACATTCTTTTAGTGTGGATTCAATTTTACGATTATTAGGAATGACTCTGATTTCTATAGGGACTGAGTTTAACAATTTTGGACCAAAGTATGACATACATTTCTGTGTTTGTGTTAGTCTACAGAGGAGAACATTTGTTTTCTGTTAAGATTTAGTACATGAGTTGTAAGTATAACTTATCTGAAAGATGGAGGTATTTTGAATAGAGTTTTCTTACAGTAAATAAGCCAATTTCTTTGTAAAGGTCTTCATTTGAGCACCTTCTATTTTCTCAATAATTATTTTTGATATGGTATTTTGCATGACCTCTAGAACGTGCAATAATGTTTTACTGAGACCACCCCATGTAATGATACAGTACCTAAGTTATTGACTCTCTTAACCGTGTTGTCAATGTGTTCTTCCCATCGCAGGTGTTGGTCCACATATACACCCAAATACCTTATGTTGTCAACTTTTTCAATTATTGGACATGAACACTACTTTGAAGTTCGGCATAGATATTTATGAACAGTGAGAGTGTGTGAGAGTCAACAGGTGCATTATCGTGATGCAAAAGCCATGAATTCTTCTTCCACTTCCTGCTTCCTGCAATTGCTTCAAGATTATAGAAACCATGTGGCAAGAACTTCTGAGGCACTACGCCATGGTGATCGAAAAAAAAAGTGACTAACACTTCGAATTTGAACGAACTTGGCGTGTTTTTGTTGGTCTCAGCTCTCCTGTGCTCTTTCATTGGTACGATTGTACTTTGGTTTCGATGTCGTAACCATATACCTATGATTGGTCACTAGTTATGATCCTTTTTAGCAAATCTGAATCGCCGTTGCTAAGCGATGCTAATGCAACGGTTTTTTTAGTCAAAATTCAGCAATTTTGGAACGAACTTCGCTGATATACGCTCAATGCCCAAAATTTCAAAAAAAGTGCATGGCATAAGCCAACCGATATGTCGACATCCTCAGCAACTCCTCTAATAGAAATTCGACGATTCTCCGTAACAAATTTCCTCACTTCCTCAATATTTCCATCGATTGCCGATGTGCTGGGGCATCCAGGGCGAGCGTCGTTATTCACATATTCTCGACTTTCTGTGAATAGCTTGTAAACATTTTTCTGATTCAGTGTATAATAATCACCGTATATCACTATCAATATTTGAAGTGGTTTTGAATAGTACGGGGAATTCATGAAAACTCCCTTTCATTTTATCGTATTATTTATAGTTGCGCAGGTATAAAGAAAAATTGATAAATTGGTTAGGTCTTTCGCGGCCAAGATTTTCTGTGTTACGATCTTCATCAGCGTTTGTAGGACATCGTGGTTTGGAACTGTATCCTAACGTTTCGACAGCACCAGTGGCTGGCTTCTTCAGAGGTTCATTCATCTTGGTGATTCACCTATGGCTGGTGATTTCCCCCCCCCATGCCCCCTCCCGGGTTGTGTGCCCAGGTCGCAAGCTCCCTCCTTACGGAATCATTTCCGCAGGTTTGGACCTGGCGACCCTTTAGTTTCTTTTACAATAAACATTTAATTGAGTTTCAAATGAGTTCTTTTATTATTTGGATGAATGAATGAATGGGTGAAACAGCAAATAAAAATCATCTCGTAAATAGCCAAGCGAGAACTGAGTTGCGACAGTATTACTTGTCAAAACACCTAGCATCGCTCCTCCAGCCTCATGTTGGAAAAACCACCTCGCACATCAAGTATTTGACAGACAGAAAAATTGGGAATATAACCTTGAGGCAAAATGATATTCTGGTCAGTTTCGACGTTGTGTCCTTGGTCACAAATGTCCCGCTGGAAAATTCTTAGAGAAAGAGAGCCAACCTGTTTTCTAGTGATATTGTCTGATTCTCCAAAGCCTGTCTCACGGGAAGTTACTTCCAATGGAGAGGTTATTTCTATGAGCAATTAAACGGTATAGCGATGGGAAGTCCACTCAGCCCAGTGATAGCCAACTTCTTCATGGAGAGTTTGAGAAGAAGGCAATCGACGCTTTCTATCATAAACTAACCAGTCGGCTACGATACGTGGATGACATCATGGTTATTTGGAGACATGAGAGGGACAAATTGAACCTATTTCTAGACCACATAAATGCTCAACACCCTGGCATCAATTTCACCTTGGAGACAGATAGAATCGGAAAAATCTTAAGGAAGTATAACATAAAAACAGTGTTCAAGCCCACCAGGAAAATACAACAAAGCTTGAGATCTGCGAAAGACAAAAGAAATAGAATAATCGGCAGTAGTGGAACACGCGCTTAGTGCCTGCCGATATAAAGGAGATGTCTCCCAGCGACCTATCCACCTTCCTGGAAAGGACAGGATGGACGATGACATAGGAGGACAACTCCTCGGGAGGATGTACAATGGGTCACAAGTGGCCTAAGTGCGTGGGCTTACACTCACCCTCCCTTCTCAACAGATACAGATAGATCGAATAGAGAAATCGGCAGTAGCGGAACACGCGCTTAGTGAAGGAAATCACACGATACTGGATACCACAGTCGGCTTGTACGGGAAACCATAGAAATACATAAACATTCGGAAAACTACAACAGAAAAGAGAGGGCGGTTACGCTTAACTGGATTTGGAATCCCATACTGAAAGATGCTGAAGTGGCAACAGTGCAATGCAACGTCACGTCATCAACAGGTAATAGCACTTCGGCCAATAGCAACGCATCAACAAGAAAGGCGGGCTACCTGAGTCAACATAAATACAACCTACGAACTAGAAATCACCAGTCATCTGTGAACCATCAAGATGAATAAATCTCTGAAGAAGCCAGTCACTCGTGCTGGCGAAACGTTAAGATACAGTTTCAAACTACGACGGCCTTCAAACCCGAATGAAGATCGTAACTTTACCAGCAGCAAAAGTATAATAGTCAGGACTGTTTCAGAACTATGAATCTTTGAACTCATTAGGCAACTTGAGGGAGCTTTCTCCGTCATTAAACCATTCCTTCTCAACATTTTCTATCAAATTCGCTATGTAAGGTTTTCCTATTGGTTTATTTATCGAACATTCTCCAGTGAGGCATACGAAATGGTGGAACAAGGGAAAAGTCATATAATACAATGTGTGCCACATTGAACTACTATCTACTAGAAGTTTAAGATGGAGGAATGAAATTATCAAAAAATGTTTCGAGTAAATCTAGCAGATAAAAATACATAGCACATATAAATATTCTCCAGTAAACAGGGTATCAAGTGAATGCGTGGAATATAAAAGTTGTTTTTTAATAATATTTATTCATTTCCATATTCGTATTCCATCAATTGAATAATTTTTTATTATCAAGATGTTTTTGAGAAACACCAATTCACTGAAATTTGAATATGAACAGTTGTTTGATTACTTCATTCCTTCAGCTCAAAACTCATGTATCACTTTATCAGAAAAATATGTAGATACTTTGTAATTTTTTCATCATTGTTATTTATTGAAAAAAAAAGTTGAAATAATTACTTCATTTTTATTCAATTTATATATGATTTATCTATCATTTGTGTCCTGTGTACAATCGTAAAGGATACAGATTTTCCCAAAATTCGATTCGTTTTTCGTACAACTTTTCCTTGATGGTCAGCTTGTTGCCAATATCCAAATACTTTTGAGACTCCAGTGTAAAACGTTCCCATTTCACTTCATCCAGTTTCTCATTCACATGTGGGATTGGATTACTATAACAAATGATTATTTATAGTTCTTCATACACAATGATTTTTTCTAATGTTATCTTTTCCTTACATTTTTAAACAGGTCAATTCAAACAATTATTGTTTGAAGTAATGAAATTGATGCATGAATATTATAGTTCAAAGTAAAATCGACATTCCGGAAAGTAAATTAAACAGAAGTGAGATTCTTGTAACACATCGTTTTGAAACTCCTGTTGAATCGAATATATGTTACTGGTGTTTCTGAACAATGTTCGTTATACAAGTTCAGAACAACAATACGTGTTGAATACATAATATTGATGAAACGTACATACGGCAATAACAAATTATGTAAAAATAAGTAGACATTGAAACGTGATCATCCAGCAAATTAAGTATTACAGATATTCAGGCAGTACAGAAGACAATATTCTACAACTGAGTAGAAGCTCTTTTTTACCTACAGTTATTTAACAGCTAATTCAAATTCAAATGACTTGAGATTTTTGTAGCTTTCAGGTGATTGAGATAATAGTATACTTGGATGACATATACCCAATCGATTTCTTGAGTTTGTAAGTTAGTTATCACCCACAGTTTGGTAGTTTGTGGTGTTTTGTTCCGAGTTATTACCTGTCATCTAATGTACATTATTGTCTATAATTTTTTGTAAAATGTGCTTTAATAAAATTTAATCAACCGACTACGTTATTGAATTGTATAAACTCGTATGAAATTCATCCTTACTATAAAAAATGTTTTGTGTTTCTTACTATACAAAAATAGTTTTAGATTCAATGGCTACACAATTCTGATAGATATACAAAAAATTCCTCAAACAGTACTAAATTTATTGTTCGAAATTTATAGTAATTTAACAAAAAATATTGTAAGTATTCCTTACCCAGTTCTAGCAAAGTTAGCAAATATTGTTGTCAGTTTATCAATCATATCAACTTCAGGCTCCGGTGAATTTTTCTTGAATAATGGAAAATTAATTGAATCGTAGAATAAGTAGCTCAAATCATCTCCATGAACAACTCCTGAAACCATTCAATATGTTAAATGATTGTCACTAGATCTAAGGTCTGGTCAATATATAATAACGTATATATTATAATGTATAAAAATTATTCATACATATAGATACATATTCAAAATGATTGATTTCATACCCTCATACATAAAATCCATGAAGCTTGTCTCCATGGGGATTATTTAAAAATGTTCCATTTTGAACGATGGAATTCAGTGAAATGATATATTATGTGTGTGCATAAGTTTTTATGTCACATGTTTCTCTTCACTTCCTTTTCGTTTGCCGATTTTTTTGGCAACTATTGGTATAAATGAACATTGGGATGATATAAATGTAGAACTGGATCCTCTGGCGTAGATTCAATCCGAAACAAGATCTGCTCCCAAAAACAAACACTGCAATACTCTTTTTAACCCACATTTTATCAGCCAAGTTGGCGTCTTCAGAATATCAAGTCTTCTTCTCCTAAATGGTTGCTTTGGATTGAAAGACAAAATCACTATACCTCACTCACTTGAAATCTGAGCGATGCAGCTTTTCTGTCTTTCCACTTTACATTACAATCCAATGTGAGACAAAAATAATGATGAATCAAAGTTCAAGAGAGAAAAAAAGGAACATCTTCGTTCAGATTTCCAAGACAGAGTTAGGTATTCGAAAGAGTCCACTATTGGAGAGCTAGAGATTCTCAGTAACTTGTTAATGAAAATTGCCAGGTATCAGAAAAAACCATCAAAGATATTTGTAACGATTTCAAACAGATATACCAAATGTTCTGGACCTTACAAAAATACAAAACAGGGCAGCACCTGACATCCATGACAACTTCTGTTGAACCAAGATTTATCGTTAATAAACCTCTTCATTAAGAAAGAAAAATATGCATATACGCCTGGTAAAATAACGTTACTGATTTCAAAAGTGCACGTTTATAGTTTTTATAGTGACGTCTAGCTAGGGAAATTTCTAAAATGATCTCAAGACCATTGAAGCCCCGAGTCCGGTTGAGATACGTGGATGACACCTTCACAATATGAAACGATGGAAATCCAGAACTAGACATCTTACTGAAGCACATCAACAACGTAAGTCCTTCCCTCACTTCCACTATGGAGAAGGAAATCTACAACGAATTGTCATTCTTAGACATATTGGTGAAGAGGACCGACACCAAATGGGAAACATCTGTATACCGTAAACCCACTCACACGGGACAGTATCTGAACCAAGAAGCCATATACCATCAATCGACTGAGAGAAGAATTATCCTAGGAAACCGTGCTTTCCGACTCTGTACTACAAAGGAAAGGCTCGAAAACAAACTAGGCATCATAAAAATGACCTTCAACGATATGGTTACTCCAAAGTGATGGTGGAACAGACTTCAACTAGAAGACAGCAAGAGCCTCACAAGGAAGAGAAGCCGCCACAACCAGTACTTGTACTTTCTTACATCAGAGGATTGTCAGAAAGGATGAGAAGAATTGGGTCCAAGTATAACATCAGAACCTGTTGCAGATCTGGGAACACTATCCGAAGCAGCATCACGGAAACCGGGCCACCAAACGCGGACTGCAATTCTCAGAATTGCATTTGCCGAGAATCCTGCGATTGCGGGGAATCATACATCGATGAAACTAAGAGGCCATTGGAAGTTCGCATTTCCGAGCACAAGAAACACACACAGCGAGGAGGAATCAGAAAATCCGGAATAGCAGAGCATGTTTGGACTCATCAACATAACATCAAGTGGTCTCAAGCTGAAATCATCCACGAGGAGGAACACTGGTTTGTGAGAAAATTCAAAGACGCCACAATGTTTTCGCCAACAACACATTTAGCCAAGCTAGCGTAGAGATACACAACATATGGAAACCTTTGATCAAGCGGAACACGACCAACTCCCGCCAAACGGTCAGCTCTTGCTGAAACCGATGAAGCGGAGAGAGGGAAGAGGGGATTGGTGAAAGCACTCGAATGACCTATAAATAATAACGATAGTGAACCAATACCTAATAGTATATTATACAGGGTGTTAATTAAGTATGTACCATAAATTCAACAGACGATTCTTTAGGTAATTTTAAGACGAAATGTTCATATAAACATGGGTCCGCAAATCCTTCGTTCTCAAGATACAGGGTGTTAAAATGAAAATAAAAAAAAGTTATTCGTAAATATCTTGAATATTCTTCACCTAATTTCATTGTAATTTGGCAATGGTATTTATTACATTAAGGAGCTAATTCAGCTCGAACGGGATTTGAACGAATATTTTTGACTTAAGAATGTACGCCACTGACTTTTGTGCAATTTTTATTATTTTTTTGGACCAAGCAATCAGAAACACAACTTTTTTGTCTCCTGAATAACAACAAATATTAAATAACATTAATATCTATACTTCTAGACTAACGAATTGCATACTAAATTAAGTGTTGGAAATGGCCTCCTTCGGCTTCAAAACAACCATCTAGCCGTCACATCATTGAATTTCGCACTCTTCTGTTATTGTAACATAATTAGTAATGAAAAATTGTAAAAATAATAATTTCCAAAAGAAACATTCAATTCCCCATATTATTCCTTGTGAGGTCCTGGAATATGCAATTAGGTCGACTTTTTTTTCTTAAAAACTAAGCAAGATACGAAAAAAATTCAAGAGCCAAAAGAGTTGTATTTTCAATTGCTCAATCCAAAGAAATAATGAAAATTGCACGAAAGTCAGTGGCGTACACTTTTAAGTCTGAAATATTCGTTCAAATCCCACTCGAGACGCCACTGGACTTATTAAATTGAATCACGTTCGTGCTAAATAAGCTCCATAATGTTATAAATACCATTGCCAAATTACAACAAAATTAGGTGAAGGATTTTTAAGATATTTACGAATAACTTTTTTTTATTTTTATTTCAACACCCTATATCTTGAGAACGAAGGATTTGTGTACCCATGTTTATATGATCATTTCGTCTTAAAATTGCCTAAAGAATCGTCTGTTGAATTTATGGTACATACTTAATTAACACCCTGTATAGCTTGTTAAAATAATATAGATTTACCAGACTGATACAGAAGGACACATGGTAAAATTAATTTAATAGTAGTAGATAAGGCAATATTGTGAAATTAATTTTATATAGCTTATAATATTTCAATTATCAGATTTACCTGACTATTATACAAGGACACATTGTAAAATTAATTTAAGACACTCAGGTACCTAGAACAGGTATATATGGTATAAATAAGGATAGCTTTGTAAGTATGGTAAGTTTGATGTTCCTCTTGAAGATGATCACTTGGTGATCGAAACACGTGTCAAGGTGTTAAAATAACGGTTTCGTGATGGGAAAAAACTCAAGTAATATTCATTACTACACCAAAGGTTCCAAACAGTGCATCACAAGTATTGGTTGAACAAAAATTAACCAAAAATCTATCTTATGTCTCACATGTACTGGTTATCCCTATTGAGGGGATCGTTGATAGTCGCTTAGAGGAGAATAGTCCATCAGACAACTTTAACTTCGCATGAACAATATCGATTTTGAATTGACATATCTGCTAATATATATTTTATTCAAGTGATTTCATGATGATCCAAGGATTTGAAAAAGTGAATACTGAAGTAGCTAACGAAATATTATATAAATGAAACATCACTCTCAGTTCAAAATTAGTTCTTTCATTAAGTTCAAATATTTTTTGTGAAATATGAGTCGAAATGTACAAATATGAAGTGTTACCGAAAAGTTGAATACATCTTTTCGTCCGAATTTTGGTCATATGCAGTAACTTCGTTAGACAAATGAAGTACCTATACATTTTACCAAACTGTCAGGAATATTAACTAAGCATCCAAGATAATTCTAATCCAGATTACTCATCAGTGAATATGTTCACAATCTGAAATAAGTAGTTCTTACCCCAAGGAATGGTGTTATTGGTTCCAGGGAGATAAAAATAACTGTATCTTCCTTGAAAATTGAAACAGTAGTAGTACACAGGTTTGTCCCCATATCGTGCCACTAATTTTGCTCCCCTGTTGACCTGGAAAGTTACTAAAGTATCCGTGAATGCCTGAAAATGAAAAACATGGAACTTCAATTTTGTTCAGAATCTGAGTTTTAACATTATAAATGGAAATGAATGGGCTTCAAATTGATTCTACTGAATTCTTTTTGTTGTTGAAAACAGTTTCAGATTATTCATTCAGAAAGTCTCCTTTCCACCCTCTATGTACTTTTTGATGTTTTCTCGTATTGATATAAATATTGAAGATTAAAAATAACTTGAAATAGTATTTCACAAAGATGTCGCAGGTATTTTCAATTTAGATTACTGAAAAGTTTTTTTTGAACGAAACCCATAGTGCATACCGACAAAAAGCTGCCGCATTGTGCCTATCTTTTGAGTAAATTCATTATAATATTTGTACTACCTGTACTCACTTTTCAATACATAGCGGAAATCTTTCTATAAAATATTTTTCAGGTTATTGTTCTGCAATCGAGAAAAAATAGTTTTACAAAGTTTCACCGGAAACAATTTTGTTAACTTTTCTTTGATTCAATTTTTTCTCAAATTTCATTGAACCAGTCATTGAAGCAATCCACACCAAATGACAATGTAAAGATTCAACCAGTTTGGATATGACGAAGTATCGATCAATTCGTTGATCAAACATTTCATGTCCGTAACTTCGGTATTTTCAAAATGACTTTTTCAATATTTTTTTTATAAGTTCAACAAAAACATATTTTTGATACTTACTTCAGCTAAATTGTTGACCTGAGATTTATCCACAGGCCGGTCATGAAAGTAAAATCTTTTAATATCCTTGGTGACGTTTCTGGATTGCCTACTGTTCCTTTCATAAGTGAAAATGATCGGAGCCACGTTTTCGAAATTGTCATTCAATTCTTGCGTTAATGTGGCATTGTCGACGATTTCTGAAAATTTCGTTATTAACTTTAAAAAAATGTGAACCTTTGTAATATCATTGAAACTGCAATATTTTCAATAATTTGATGGATGTAGCCATTACTACGTGGTAAGATTTTATCATAAAAATTGAAAAATGAAACTTTCTATGTTTCGATACACTTGTATTCGTAACTAACGTTATTGAAAATTCGTCCTACAAGGAAATTTTCAACCGAATAAACTGAAATAATCAACGATGTACACACTTACATACCCATACTCTCTCCATCTAAGCAAAAGAGTCCTCTGAAACATCATCATGCATAGTGCACGTGATCTTCCAGACAAGACTGCTTGTACAGAGTCGCAATGAGGAAGGATTTTTTTTTATAAAATGCGGCTGGGTATAGAGTCTTTTTTATGTGAAGTGAAGTGACACAAACCAGCAGTTTCTTCAGCCGTATCAGTACTTGACATTTTTGAAATATTGAACTTTAAAATATCGTATATCCACACACAACAGGCGTTTAAATGTAACTCGCCACACCGACCCTGTAGCGATACACCTGAATGGATTCCACCAGCCGATTGCAGTTGAATCTGATTGGCCAGCGTAAGGAGGCTTGTTTATTTCACCCAAAAGATGCTTTGATCACGCATCTATCATTGTTTGGGTTACTTTGTTTGTTGGATGGACAGAGTTCATACAACTACTGTCGATAATAACAAACAGTCCTCGATTACTTCATTAAATAAAATCTAGGTAATAAAGTCAATGAGGACCGTCTGCTATAACAGACGATCCTTAATGACTTTATTGAATAAAACTTAGGTAATAAAGTCGTTAAGGACCGTCTGTTATTACCGATAGTGGTTGTATAGGTATACATATAAGGTTGTACATTGTTAATCATTTCAGTTTATCGTATTCGCTTGAAAATGTCCTCGTAGGACGAAACTGCAGTTACGTTAGTTAGAAATACAAGTGGTATTATTACAGGTATTTTATAGATAACTACATGTGAGCATGTTTGTATGTGAACAGTGCAATGATGTAAAAACGGACCACCCTGAATAAGTCATATGACTAAATTGAAAGGGTTATATTTTTAGGAGTGATTAATTTTTGGGAAAGTTTTTGACTTTCTACTACTCCATCTTGATATAAACAAATGTGGGAATATTCCGAAGAAATCAATCACTCCTAAAAATATAACACTTTCAATTTAAATGAGATTCATTATGGCTGGGATTCAATCAAATAAGCGAATGAGTCTTTATGATGTCATAACTGAATAGATGAGTAGATCCAATGAGTAGATCTAACTTATTCCGTTACATAAAAAATCGTAATTTATGAATGAAATGTAAGTTCTTTCTTATAATGTTACCCATATTGATATTGAAGAGCTTTAAGGCAAATGTCTTACGGCGATAACTATTACCCCCGACTTCGGGGAAAAGCCGCTAACTATATAGGGACCTACAGTGATTATTTTTGTTAATAGATTTTTTTTAGTTTTTCCTTTG